ACTAATAATTTAAATTAAATTAAAACGTTAAAATGTTACTGTATCAGTAAAGTATCAAGATATTTAATTCTTAATCTAATAATCATGCATTAAATAAATAACTAAATATTACTAATAATTTAAATTAAATTAAAACATTAAAATGTTACCGTATCAGTAAAGTGTAGAGATATATGATTTCAATCCGAGCGAAGTAGATTGTCTTCCATCATATATCTGCAAAAGAATTATATTAGTAAAATATTAAATAAAGTAAAAATATAATAGTAAAAATATTATAAAATATACCTTCAAAAGATAGTATTTAAGAGAAATTTAGAGAATTTGAGAGAATTTGATGGGAAAAAAGTGATTGAGGATGGGGGTATTTATAGGGAGGATGGGGACGTGAGGCGGGGTAATTAGGGGTATAGCGCGCCTCCTGCACCACGCTATACCCCACGTGTCAGATATCCAGGTATAGCGCGCTACAAGGGCCGCGCTATACCCACGTGTATGCCAGATCACTGTATAGCGCGGTGCATGGGGCGCGCTTTACTGCTAAGGGTGTTAGATCGAGAAATATACTGTTCACTGGTGATATATCAGGAAAATCGCCTAATTTCAGTACTAAAAAATAATATAATTATTAATTTATCATTATTATTTCCACTAAAAAAATAATAGGATTGTTAATTTATTTTTTGAGAGATGTTATATTAATTTATTAAATTTTAAAAATGCAACTTGAGTGATATATGCTATTTTTTTTAATTATGTCGGTGGGGTTATTATTGGTATACTCAATCATTTTTCATTTTCTTTCCTTTTTCTCATAATTGTTAATTTATTTATTACTAAAAGATATTTTATTGATGATTATGGTAAATATCAAATTGAAAAGGAAAGTGTATATATATATATATATATATATATATATATATATATATATGAACGAAAAAGGCTGTCCATTGGTTAGTTTGAGTGCGATACAAACCGTCGGGTTGAATCAACCGGATCGAGTTAGGTCCGATTTTCTTTTTGTTCACATTTATTTTATAAATTTAAAAAATATTTAACTCAATTTTTTTTAAAATGATAATATATCAAATTTTAAATTATTTTTATGTAAATAAAAATAGATAATTTAATAAGAAATTGAAAATATCTAAAATTATAATAACAATTTATTATCACAAATGTAAATTAAACATATAGTTATGACAGTATATATAACAATTAATATAATAAACTAATTAATTAACGATGATGATTTCAAGGATAATGTTGATAACTCATCTAATTCTTTTAAAAAACAATAGTTACAAACAGATCTGAAACAGGAAATGAACCATAACATTAGATCAAGCTATTGAAACGCCATCTACAATCATAAATTAGAGTCAAGTGTAGTGAGAAAACTATATTCGAACGTAAATTGTGTATGCAAATCAAATTTAAGTGTCTAAAGCAAGGAAGATCAACGACATAACAAATAAGTGTTATCTTAACCGGTTGATGCGTCGTGAAATTCAATCATGAGAAAATTAAACGAAAAGTATGACCCTAAAGTAATAAAAAAGACTAAACATATGTCAAAAGATAAAAGACAATGTATAATACAGACAAAGGAAGGCGTGTCTTAAATGCACGGTTATTGAAAATTAAAAAAAAATCAAAAATGTGATATAAGAAAATATAGTTAATTGCAATATATATCCCTAAACTATTACTATTATTCTAATTTGGTCCCTAATTTTTTTAACATTTTAATTAGATCCCAAATTATAACTCACATTCTAAATTGGTCCCTAAACTATTGAACATTCCAAATTCATCCTCAAACTAAGACCCTTGTTCTAAATTAGTCCCCAAACTTTTGAACATTCCAATAATATCTCCCCAAATCATTCAGAACTTCAAAGTTGAAATTAGAACATTTAAAAGTTTGGGGATTAATGTACAATGAGGGTTACAATTTGGGGATGAACTTGATATATTCAAAAGTTTGGGGATAATTTAAAATGAAAACATAGTTTGAGCATGAAATTAAATGTTTAAAAATTTAGGGTTCAATTCAAAATGAAGATCATAATGTAGGGATATATAATACAAATAACTCAAAAATAAAAAGAAAATTAATAAATAGAGGTGATCGATGACCGACATTAAGACTAATATGTTAAAACAATGTTTTTTATAATAGAAGGCTTGATGCAAAAAATATAAACATGACACGTGTCACTTAACAGTTTTTTCAACGGTCGTTACTGCGTAGTCATCTAAAAATATAACGGATAAAATGTCAGGCACCTAAAAGTGTAACGGGAAAAACATTAAATACCCATTTTTAATGAAGAATTCTTTGAACATTAAAAATTAACTCAAAAATATAATTTATACTTATCTTTACATTAAGTATTAATAAAATGAAAACATATTATTTGAAATTGTATTGAATTTTATATTCATGGTCTCGAACCCGTCACTTGATTAACCATACATGCAATAATTCCATCAAGCATGGGATTCCATGACAAACTCCAACCAAATATTCATATCATTAACATGCTTTTTTATTTATTTTTCTTTAATATTATTATCACATTTGCCATGTTCATAATTGGACCGACATATTTAGCCGCAAACATCGGACTAAAACATAGTTAATAATAAATAATTAAAGTTAATCCCAACAGTAATTTTCATTATTAAAATCAACAAGGATACATAAAACTTTGATCACTTTGATTGTTGTAATAATAATTCATCATAGTACCAAAGGATCTGGGTACTTATAAAACTTAAGGGCTAAGGTTGTTTTATGTTGTCTTGAGGGTTAAAGAATTGATTACGAGTATTTGATGTATTAATCGATTGATTTAGATTGAATCATATAAAGATTTATTATAAGTACACTTTTTTTAACCTAATTTTTTTTGTTCGTAATATCAAAATTTAAACATTCGATATTTAAAAAAAACATGATATCTCATTTTACTATATGAATCGATAATCAATAATACAATTGCACGAATTAAGTTATCTCCGAACAAAATTTCAACATAAAATTGACAAGGATTTGATACTTATAAAAACTTGAGGCATAAGGTTGTCTTGTCTAGTTCTTATTTATCAAGTTACATTTATAATCATAATGAGAGCCACCCATCTATTTTCATTATTATATTAAATTAAAATGCATTATATTCTACCAACAATCAGATCCTTAGTGAGATGAGGCACTAGATCCCTTAACTAAGGTCAATGGTTCAAATCCTGACGTTTGCGAATGGAGCAAACTGAGTTGGGAAGGTCGCCCTCGCCTCTGCAGTACCCGATTTGGATTAGTCGATTAATAGATCGAATATCAGTTATTAATTAAAAAAATGCATTATATTCTAACCTAAATAGGTTAAACACGATTTTTAAATAACATTATTAAAATAGTTAATCTCAAAGTTCAAAATGTTTTAAGAAATTGTGGCATTCTAATTACAACGGACGAAATTTAAAGTTTAAATAAAATAATAATAAATTCATCTCAAGATTAATATATAATATAATTAAATAAAATAATCGACCAACGTAATTCAATTTCAACATGGCCTTTGACATGGCATAAGGAAAATTCAAATTATCATTCTGTTCTTCACTTTAATGGTCAGATGGCCTTTGCCATTTGGCAGCCTTTTTCATGATGTGTACACATCATTCTTCTTTCTATTTTTATTTATTTATTTATTTAAAATATTTATATATTCGATAATTATGTGAAAAAAATCGAAGTAGTTTAAGTGATTAGAAAATAATATTTGTTTATAATCTTTTTCGGTTATTAAAAATGTAATTATCCCTACAAACACAATTGTTTAAATTTAAAACATTTAGGGAGAACAACACTCTTCTTAACCACAAAAATTATCTAATAAATTCAATTACATGAAAAATAAACCACAAATCTTGCATTTCGTAAAAAACGATTAAGACCTCACATTTTATATATAATGTATGGGCATTATTATTTTAAAAATCCCCAATAATTAATTATTTGAAAAATTAACCCCAAACAATATTGTTTGAAAAATAACTCCAATAGTTTTTTTAGAAAAATAATCCTCAAATCTCGTGTTTCGTAAAAAAAATTAAGACCTCACCTTTTACAAAGCACGAGTTTCATGTATTTATAGTGCCTTTATCTATAAATTAAATGAAGTTATCTAAAAAGTTGATGAATCTTGCGTTTTGAAAAACATGAGATCTTTAAAATGTATTTTGTAGGATGCGAGGTACTTTTACGTGGGCAGTTTGGGATCATTTTTCTAATTAATGCTATTTTGGGATTGCTTTTCTATTTAATTAATTATTGAGGGGTTTTTTTAAAAAATAAAAACGCCTAATATACGTGCATAGACGTTTAATGGGACGCAACCTTAGACATTTATGCTCTATGACCTTAGCCCTTTCCAAAATAACCATGAACTCATTGACAATACACCAATTAATAACCTATACATAGTTATAAAAAGGAAATTTATAAAGGCCTCAAAAGAGGGTAGTCTTCAAGTAATTCCCTCTCTGATAATGTGTCATTTTCATTATGGGGCGTCCATAAGACCTCAACTGTTTGCATTACAATCGGAGACATATCGAAAATATGTAAGATCGTAAACGAGATATTCGTGCTAGTCAGTTACTCGAGTTCAACTCGTAAGAAGCTTATGTTCAGCTCCGTTATTGTCGAATTGAGCACGAGCTATCAAATAAAGATGAATTCAAATATATTATTGCTCGACTTGAGTAGCTCGTGAGCCTAATGGAACTTTTTTACTCGAGTGACTCGAGCATGAAATTCAAACTTATCTTTAATTGAGCCTAATTGAATGATCTCATGCAGCTCAGCTTTTATCTCAAAAAAGCTTGTTCTAAGAGTATAACTCGATTGAGCTCAAACTGAACTTAAGGTCACAAATTCAGGTGGAGCTAAGCATATGAACAATATCGACAAATAACAATCGAGGGATAAGCCGATTCTTACCAGTAGTTTGCTTGTCGGGATGGAGGCAAGCTTTTGCAAGGCTACATTCAAGTCACCACTTCCCTTGATGAGGGGCAATTTATGCACTCCTTCAGCAGCTACCGAAATTGTTATCTGAAATTGTAGAAATTGGATGCGAATCAAATTAAGGTTACCATTCCATCCAAAACTTAAAATCCGAAGCTCTTTCTTTCGATAAATCTATGGCAGATTTATGACAAGGAACGAGGTCTTACCACTATGTACTCATTGTTGAATCCACTAGCGTTCTGATATGCTGTACTGTGCCTTCTAATATTGCTCACATTCACCAGTGTCTCCTCGTCAAATTTACCACGTTCTTCGATCTAGAGTTGATTGAAGCGTTTCTCCCCATCGTCTATGCTCCGTTTCACATCCACCTGTAGAATATACCATCATATAATTATCCCAAATTGTTAATACAATTTCCCGACTTAGTAAACTTATATATGACAAATTGCACGATTTGTTTGATTTCATTATAGTAAAGGGATCCCTCAAGTGATATGCTCAGTGAAAGGATGCAAAGAATGAGAGTCCTGGATATGTACCATTTTTATAAATCCGAAAAGAGTACTGAATGTCAACAATCAAGATCCATGGACACTAAAATCGTATTGTTAAGGAAATCCTTTAACAGAATACTTCCACTCATGATAAGAGTTCCTAACTATGTTCTTTGACACTGTGTGTTTCCTGAAACACTCTGTTCGACACATTTTTGGACATGGGTAGGGGGATATGACTTTCCAAGGACCTTACATAGGAAAACATAGAAGAAAAAGTGAACATACCTATGCACGAGACGAGACATATCCGTATCCCACATTCAGATATGGACCAAGTAACATTGGTTCATAAAGCAAACAATCACACAAACACACCAGCCAAAGCAGAGTAGGTTCTGAAGTGTTTCTACCAATGACCTACCAACTAACATAAATTTCAGATTGTGTGGCACTGCAACTGCAAATTATTTTTTTACAGCATTATATGCATGCACAAAAAACCTTAAGATATGCCATGAAGCATGCGACTGTCTGATAATTTCTCCATAACTCAATGTCAGAGGAAGCATAGCCACGAGCTGTATAATTCATTTAGTGAGCAAGACAAACAGAACATTTCGTAAAGGCTAACTTACAGATGAATAACCCGAGATGCAATAATCAGGATGGCGAAGCAAAGCCAGTGTTGTCTCTGCAAAAAACAAAAAGTATGTAAAAACTTCCTCGGCACACACAATCAATCTAACAAACATGGACATGACATGTTTAAGAAATTAGTCAAACGTAATTCACCAGGTCACCTTGTAATTCTACAAGTATTGCTAAAGGAAAACAGAATAGAAATAAAAGAGGACGCAACGCAATGAATGGGGGATTTGCGTTAAGATGATTGCTAGTAATTGATTAGTGTCAAACAGAATAGCGATGTGATTAGATATCACACAGTTGTTATTTTCTAAAGTGGATTTCAGAACAACATATAGCAACCATAATTGTGCTTGTGCTACAGAGCCATACGGTTTATACATTGCCTCTTGCGTTATTATCTTTAAACACATACTGCATCCGACAATCACACTCAAGTTCGAGTAACATCGGGACTGATAATGGGGGATTAGTGTTAAGATGATTGCTACAAGAGTTAATAGGGAAAAAACATTTTCATCAATATGTTGCCATTCTTTACTACATTATCAATTTCACCATACCTGAGCTTTGAATCTTGATCAGAGAAAATGGTCAAAGTGAGAACTTACTAAAATAAATGGACATTTTCGTAAATTCATCTTTCATTTTCTAACGAGTCGATTTTTTTAATTTCTTGATCTAAATCATTTACTTATTATATTATTCGATCTAATCTATAATCACTATAATTTAGACAAATAATTCTCTTCCAACTTTCACATGTCAATTTATTTATATATTTTAAAGAAAAAAATATTACGAAATTAATGGACAATTTCAACTAAACTTGACTCAACTCGATGCGAAGTCGAGTACAATTCTTGTAATTACATGTATAGTACTATCAGAATTATATGTGACATGCATGGTGCCATTGGTGTTGTTATACTTTCATTTATGACTCTGGTTGAGCCTTGCAGCGGCGGCAATGGAGGCGGCGACACCGGCCGGATGTGTGGTTAGGTTGGGATCGTTTCTCATCTCGGCACCCATTACCCCTTCTGCATCTTTTCTTGTCGCCGGCTTATCCGATGGCAACTTCGATGTCGCATTCTACAAAGGATCAATCGGAACAATAATCACATATTATATTTATGCTTCATCAACCAAATTATAGAATTGAAATTTATTAGTGATAAATTAATAAAATTGAATAATTTCGATTAATTCAATCAATTTTGATAGTTTAGTGAAGACAAATCGATTAAATTTACGTAATCGAATCGAAATAATCGACAATTAAAATTCGGCTAAAATCTTTTTTACTACCCCTGATTTTGAAGTTATTAGTAATACTAAATTACCGCAAGAATAGTGCCCAATTTGGTCTTGTCTTCATCTCTGGTAGCCCTAGCATTGAGTGTGGCAGCTGATTGAGCCGCCGCGGCAATACCGCCGGGCATTATGGAGGTTCGGCCGGTGGCTCTAACTTCCGCCGCCTGTATTGCTGCAGCGTCACTCCATTCCACCGGCTTTGTTCCCGCCGTAATTGCGGTGGCTTCGAGTGCTTCTCCGATGGTAATTCCACCACCGTATTCAAAGGTCGGGTCGTGATCAGATGAACATAAATCTCCATGACCACATTGCCCTGCAGCAACCTATCATGTGGTAAAGAAGAAAAAATAATCCTTCTTTAGTTACCATTAATCTGAAAATATTAAATTTGTCTAAGACGGACTAATTAATTTATTATGTAAATTGTATTATATGACAAATTAAGGCTCAATTCACAATTTAGTCCTTGAAGTATAATATTCTCCTACTTTACACTTTAAATTATTTGTTTTATCTCAATTTGCCCCTAAACTGTCATTTTTTTTATCCCAATTTACCCTAAATAAAAAACTAACCAATAAAATGTGACATGTAGCATGTTATTATTGGATAGGACGAAAATGATAATTTAAGTAAACAGAGACAAAAAATAATTTAAAATGTAAAGTGAATATATATATATATATATACCTAAAAAATACATTATAAATTAAGTCAAAAATTAATTATATAATGTCATCATTAAATTAAAAAGTTCTATTTATTTAACGGAATAAATTTAGATAAATTAAACTTGTACGAGTATGGAATTCATCTAACAACCTCAATGATGGAGTATTGTTCTCTTTAGATGTTTTAGGTTAGAGCAGTAGAGTACGTGCGTTATCAATGACTAAAAAATAATGTAAATATATACTACAATGTAATTAGTTCAGACAATTCAAAGAAAAAAGACTCGTATAAGTACGAGTGATATTGATATTATATATAAATTCAATTTCAATCTAACCGAATTTATCGTGAATAAATTCAAGGGTAAAGTATAGTAATGGTCACTGAACTTTTCTCAAGCTTTCATATAGGTCCCCAACTTTTAATAATTTCTTCGTTTGATCCTTGTGGTTAAAGATTTTCCAACATATGATCAAATATAATGAAATCCCAAACAACGCATTCACCGATGCATTTCTTCATTTATACAAAATAATTCCAGCTTTGTTAGTGACTTTCAACAATGATACTTAGTTCATCTTATTAGTATTTGTCAATTTTGTATTTCTAACCCCATTTTTTTCTCACAAGCATTTCATCGAACATCTATGCTTCACCTGAGATGACATGTATCTAACATTACATCTTGAATCGTTGATGGTCCCGATAGTCCCTTGGTTGGGTCTTCTCTCAATGGACCCTTATTCAAGTCAACACCTCCACATAATTCAAAGTTAGATTAGAATTTTTCATACATCCTCGACTGAAAAGTTACACTGGAAATGAGAAGAGAGAAGCGAAAAAAATAATTTTGAGATTGAAAATGAATTTGGGGTTTAGAATGAAATTGAGGATTGTGTTGCAAGTTTTAAAAGTTGGGGAACCTAAATGCAAGCGCCTAAAAAGTTCAGTGACCATATTGCAAACGTACTAACGGCAGTGTATTGCAAACGGACTAAATGTTGGAGGACTGTATTGCAAGTTTTAAAAGTTGTGAGACCTAAATGAAAGCTTTAGAAAAGTTCAATGACCATTACTATACTTTACCCTAAATTCAATGACACCAATTCGGCCAACGACAATAACATAATCAAAATTATATTATAATAAATTTATCTTATAAAAAGTTTAATATGATTTGAAAAAAATACCCATTTTTACTTTCACCATGGTAAAGTTATAATGTGCCTTTATAATGTGTGTGTATATATATATATATATATTATTTACCTCATCGCCAATGTACTCAAAAACACTTTTCCCAGGAAATGGAGCCTGTTTAAGAGCAACACCAGATTCAACACTGGTTTCATCATGACCCACCAAACCCGACCCCTCGTTCTTCGCTGCAGCGGCGTTGTCCGACATCTGCATCATCGCAGCATCCTTATGTGCCACCGCCTTCCCGGCAAGCTTGCCTTGTACGACGAAGGCATCTTCGTAATGGACCTGTTCTTGGTTCCTATGTGGTTGTTGTTGGCTCATTTTATTTGCATTACTTAATCTTCTACGTAGTTGAACTTCGTGATCTTCTTTTTCAGGGTTTGTTGTAAAAGGGTGAGAGTTTTTTGGAAATTAATCGGATAAATTTAGTTTTATAAGTGCATGGGCCATGCAAGGTTTGGACAACGTTGGGTGGCCACGAAATAATGGGGACGAGGGTTGGGGTTCAATGGACAAATGGTGAAGTGTGTGTGTTGGAGACCGGAAATAGCAAAGACCATGAAGACAAAGACAAGTGGTGTTTTGTCGTAAAGATGAGGACTTGGTCTTAACATAGGTTTAGGGTTCTTAATTATGTTATATGCTATGTTATTCGGATTTCGAATATTAAAAATAGATATGATTATGAAAAAATATAAAATAATTGAAATATTTGGACTTCGAAGGGAATTGGAGAAAGTCGCTTTGAGAGTTTTAAATTCTTATATATTTTATATATATTTTTTATTAATAATATATTTTTACCCCATAAAATTTTATAAATTCTCCTTCTTAACCTAAAATCTTGTGTTGGCCTCAATTAAAGTGTCAGAGAGCATCATGAAGCTAAAGTTGAACCGATTTGTATATCATTTGCATTGGACTTACGTTAGGAAATGATCACGTGCAACAACCTTAATATATGGCTAAAAAAAGGCGCTACCGGTTTTGTTATTATTTAAATAACAAAACCGATAAAAAATTATCGGAAACATTATTATTTCCACCGGTTTTATTATTGTTGAGCACTTAACAAGAAATATTAAAAAATATTGATGTTTTAGGTAGAAATAATAATGTTTTAGGTAATTTTTTATCGGTTTTGTTATTTAAATAATAACAAAACCGGTAGCGCATTTCTTTAGCTTAATATTAAGGGTGTCGCACTGTAGAACTTCATGATGCTCTCTGATACTTTAATTGAGGCCAACACAAGATTTTATGTTAAGAATGAGAATTTATAAAATTTTATGGGGTAAAATTTTAAAGGGTAAAGCATACGATAGATTGCAAAACTATTTTTAAATGATCATTTTGATGATTCAACTTCTAAATAATTATTAAATAATTATTAAATATATCAAGTTATTACAAAATGATCATTAAATTTTATGAGATTGTTATAAAATGATCATTTGATTTATCAAACTTTTACACTTATTATAGCATCAAAATGATCATTTTATAATATTTTGATAAATTTAATGAAATTTTTAAACTTTTAAAAGTTTAATGATTAAAACGATCATTCGAGGATAGTTCAGTGTCACCTGGTATATTGTACCCTATTCTAAACCCAATCTATAAGTCTTATCTCTCTACTCGACAACACAATTGAAATCCAACTTAAATTATCTTCTTTAAGAACCAAACCGGCCCATTTATATTCAAACTCTACCTTTGTTCATGACCCGAATACTTTTATAGCCCGATTCTTCAATCACTTTCAAAACTCGTGTAGGGTTTTAGTTTTCAGCTAACGGAGGAAGAGAAACGAACGATATAGAAATCAATGGAACCGAAGAGACTAACGGCGGAATCAGCTCCGGTATTCCAAGAAGGAATAAGCTTGATCCTCACTCGGTGGTCGGCACTCACCGCCGCTGTTGAAAACGAGTGGGGAGGCCGTGATTCTCGCGGCAAAGCCAGCGCCATCTGCACCGACGTCTTCTCGTTTTTCACTGCATCTAGAGGTAACGTATCTTTATATGTTTGTGTGTTTGTATTGGAATCGATCATTTCTGTTCTGTACTTGAGCAATTGAATTTGATTTTTTGTGTATGTAAAAATGTCAGCGGAGCCGCTTTACATAGATGATTTGGAAAATATTTTAGAGGAAGGCCTGCTTAGTCTTAATACATTGGTTGAAGATGGAAGCATTGAGGAGGTATCTTCAATCTTCAGTCTTAGCCTTGGCTTGGCTTCAATTTAGGATATTAATTTCGTTTCAATCTCTTTTTGAGCTGATTTGATGCTATGGATCTGGTCAAAATTATCAAAAATTTGCCTCAAATGATTGTTGAATCGAATCGGATTTATCATATTGCTTTTACTTTAACTTATTGTGATATATTAGTTTTTGGATGTGTATAGTATGGAGGCTCCTCTTGTTTTAGGAAGGTCAACATTTTAAGGTTCAAATTCTTTGTTCAAATTAAGCTTAACAACATTTTCGAATCGCCCTTTCCGGTTCTTCATCGGGATAAATACATTCTTTCAATCAAATGATCAAACTTTTGCCTTAATTCATTTTTTTATTCGAATCGAGTCATCGTGATTCTTTTGTTCGATGTTTCTTTCAGTTTAACTTGTTGCGGTATATTAGTTTTTGAATGCGTTAAGTATTGGATGTTCCTTTTGTTTCTTTGAATGTAGTTTACAAAGTGAATTGCAATGAGGGGCGGTTTGTTATACTTGAAAAAACCGACATTTTAGGTTCAAGTTCTTTGTTCAAATTAAGTTTAACAACATTATGAACTGTTCTTTGTGGTACTTCGCCAGAATATTTGCTTTCTTTTATTCATATTGCATCTTCTAATTGCCATTTACCCATCCGAACCATGTCCGACACTTCTTGGACACCTAAAATTGATGTTGGAAACTGGGAAAAACCATGACTCACTGGTGTTGTGCAATGTATCACAAGTTCGTATAACTCAGCAGTTATTATTAGAGTGCATGAAGGATAATTCGATTCCTTCGACTTGTTACAGGTGGCCGAGAAGTTAATGATTATGCATGAAGAATGTTTGGAAGGAAATTATCAGTCTGTTGAAAAGCTGAGGACAACTAATCCTCCGCCAGTCGCACATGTCCGACCGGTAATTTTTCTAGTTTAAACCCTTTATTCCCATTAACGTTCCGTGTTGAACAGCTACTCTATTTGTTGAAGTTTGCTTCTATCTATGTTGACATGTTATTATTCGGATGTTAGAAACATTAAAAATGGTTCCGCCTACGATTTTCTTAATTCCCCCCATGGTCTGCTCTTACCATTAAAAAGATTACCGAGTTATCGTAATAGATTAAGTTTTACCGCCCGAAATCGTGCATTCTTTTTCATGGATACATTATTTTTTGTTTATCCCAGAGTAACGATGAGGACGACGAAGAAGAAGAAGATGAAGATGATAGCATGAGCGGGGACAGTGCAGCAAACATGATTGTGGATGTACCAAATTCTCAATCAAGTTTGAATCCGGTCGGAATGCCGACGGATGAGCCGAAACCAAACCATTCGGCTGGTTCCGAAGACGGTTGGGTTGTAATCTCATCCCGGAAAAACAAAGGTAGAAGGAATTAAGCTGTAATTTTTGGTGCTTGTGAGTACTTTTAATGTTTTATATCGAAAGAAGGTTACAGATATCTTATTAATGGATACTTATATGTTTCGGTTTTGCTGTTCTATAGCTCTCTCATTACTACCATAACATTTATTATATTTTCAAAGTATCTTTTCTTAATTTTTTTTATTTTATTTTCAAAAAAAATATTTTTTTCTTTTAGATTGTCGACATTACAAACCTTTCTTTCTTATAGCTCTCTCATAATCTTGATTTCTTTAAGATAAAACTTCAAAAATTTATCTTAAAATAACCGAAAATTCTTCAACAATAATCAATTTTAATTAACATAATAAATTATGATAAATATAATAAAAGCAATAAAAAATGCAATCGGGCTCCTATAAGCGAACCTTGGGTAAACTATGCGAATAGTTCCTTTTATTTAGGATTTGATCGATTTTGGTCATCAATTTAAAAATTAAAGGTAAGTGGTTCCTCACATTATTAGTTCGTCCAGTTTAAATCCCTCTACTATTAATTTTAATTAACCCCTTTTGTTTAAGTCCCTATCGTTTAAGTTTCTAACATGGTTGAGGGACTAAAATTGAATGAACTGATAACTTTAGAGATTATTTTCCTTTAATTTTTAAATTGGTACCAAAATGGTTTAGAACAAAAATATAGGGCCCAAGAACCTTTTTATTATAAAATGATTCGTTTATCTATTAACCATATTAACTCATCAAAGGGTAGCACTAATAGAAGTTGATAGCCAGAATATGAAATTCCCGCGTGTTTTAGCTAAGAACTCAAAGTAGCCTATGGCTTTTGTTTTAGAAACGAACACTTAAAACACAATCTCCACTTTCTCTTCATCTACTCTATGCCTTCCCCAAATCTTTACACTCATAAATTTCTTCACAAATTACCCTTCAAGTTCCTGTCTTTACACTCTTTTTCAAGTACAAAAAATACCAACTTTGATCATCTCCCTCCCGATTTTCAGAGATTCTTGTCGCTTTTACATGAATCCCCGAATACCCTTTTGTGTGTTAAATCTATCCATGCCCAGATTATCACAAATTCTGCATCTAAACACCATTTTTTGGCGTCAAATTTGGTTAGAATTTATAGTGAATTGGGTTGTTTGGGGGTTGCCAGGAAAGTGTTTGAAAAAATTCCTCAACCAAAACCCATCCTTTGTAATTCAATGCTTAGTGGGTATTTGAGAAATCAGTGTTATGAGGAAACTATTGAGTTGTTTGAATTGATGGGTGTTTCACATTGGGGATTGGATAGTTACTCGTGTAATTTTGTGTTGAAGGCTTGTATGGAACTAAAGGATTATGAGAGGGGAAGGGAAGTAATCAAGAAAGCAGTGGATAGAAGGGTGGACGGTGATCGGTTTTTGGGAAGTACAATGATTAGTTTCTTTATGAAATTCGGCGAATTTGATAGTGCCAGAAGGGCTTTTAATCGGATGGTTGAAAGAGATGTCGTTTGCTGGAATTCGATGATCGGTGGTTATGTAAAGGGATACTACTATGACCAGGCATTTGATTTGTTTCTTGAGATGATATTGTGTGGTGTTAGGCCAAGTGCTATAACTATGGTCAGTTTGGTTCAAGCCTGTGGAGGAATGAGGAATTTAGAACGTGGGAAATGTGTTCATGGATTCGTTCTCGTATTTGGAATGGGAACCGATGTTTTGGTTCTCACTGCATTGATTGATATGTATAGTAAGATGGGTGAACATGAAAGAGCTCGATTGGTTTTCGATATCATGCCTGCAAAAAATCTGGTTTCATGGAATGCTATCATCTCAGGGTATGTTCAGAATTGTTTGGTGCATGAATCTTTCAGTCTGTTTCAGGAGTTAGTACTAACCTGTGGCAGTTTCGATTCCGGAACCATTATTAGCCTACTCCAGGGTTGTGCTCATGTAGCTGATTTGGAAAGTGGGAAGGTTCTCCATGGCTATATTTTCCGAAGAGGCCTCGATATGAACCTTATTTTGTGTACAGCAATGGTAGATTTGTATTCAAAGTGTGGTGCCTTAAAGGAGGCAACTTTTGTTTTTGACAGGATGAAAGATCGCAATGTGATTACATGGACTGCTATGCTTGTCGGACTAGCACAAAATGGGCATGCTGAAGATGGCATCAAATTATTTGGCCGCATGCAAGAAGAGGGAGTCGTTGCTAATTCTATAACTCTGGTTAGTTTAGTTCACTGTTGTGCTCATTTGGGTTCGTTGAGGAAAGGAAGGAGTGTCCATGCTCGATTACTTCGGCACGGGCACACTTTTGACGTCGTTAACCGGACAGCCTTGATCGATATGTATGCCAGGTGCGGAAATATTAATTATGCAGAGAGAGTATTTGAAGATGGGTCCTTTAAAGATGTTATATCATGGAATTCTATGATAACGGGCTATGGCATGCATGGTCAAGGGCACAAAGCTCTTGATATCTATTGTCGAATGTTAGAGGAGGGACTTGAGCCAAATCAAACTACATTCGTCTCTCTTCTATCTGCTTGTAGTCACTCGGGGCTTGTGGAACGGGGAAGAAGTTTGTTTCTGAGCATGGAAAAAGATCATAACATCAAGCCTACCGAGAAGCACTACGCTTGCTATGTCGATCTTCTTAGCAGAGCAGGACATCTCGAAGAAGCGGAGGCATTGGTAAAACAAATGCCCTATCAATGCCGCCGCGAAGCTTTCGAAGCGTTGTTAAGCGGATGTAGAATGCATAGAAACATCGATATTGGCACAAAAACTGCAGACTATTTATTAAGTTTGGATGCAACAAACCCAGGAATTTATGTCACACTATCAAACATATACGCTGAAGCAAGGAGATGGGATGCAGTAGATCACATTCGAGGTCTCATGAGGAGACGGGGACTGAAAAAAACACCCGGATACAGCCTGATTGAAGTCGGAAAGCAGCTCCATGCGTTTTTCGCAGGAGAAGAATCGCATCCAAATTCAGATGAAATCGATCAGATTCTCGAGAACTTGAAATCTGAACTCGAAGCTTCGGGTTACATCCCGGATACAAGTTGTGTTCTTCGTGACGTAGACGAGGCAATGAAGATCAAATCGCTGTGGAGGCACAGTGAGAGGTTAGCTATTGCTTTCGGACTTCTACGTACACCGGAAGGAAGCTTGATAAGAATCACCAAGAACCTCCGTGTATGTAGCGATTGCCATACAGTGACTAAATATATATCAGTGGTGGTAAAGAGGGAGATTATCGTAAGAGATGCTAACCGTTTCCACCACTTTGTTAATGGAAAATGCTCTTGTAATGACTATTGGTGAAAATGATATGATTATTTTTAAGGTTTATATTCAATACATTATCACAATTACGAGCAGTCAAGCTTCATCGACAGTGGCGGATTGGATCGAAAAATATTTTTGAAATTGAAAACACATATATATTAACAAAATAAATTTTTTGTATGGGTGGACAGAGTCAATAAGATAAATAATTATCCGAAGAAAATTTGAATTTTAGGGTCAACAACTAAAATGTGAATCCGTCATTGTAGACGTACATACAACTTGCAGACGCAGCTGCTCGAATCCATTAAGTGACATCAGTGGTAAAAGACCCTAAAGGCCTTGGATTCGAGCAGCAACGTCTGCAATGTGTTTGCGTTGTCAATTGGTTAAAAAAAAGTTCTGAACATATATTATCTTATAATTGCTCCATACTACTTAAAAAATGATTAAAAATCTAAATTTCAGGGTTAATATGAATAAAAACAATTCAAGGACCAAATTATAAAAGATTATCCAATTTAGGGACTAAACGTTACTTCATCCCAATAATATTTGTCCAAAGGTGGGAATAATCGTCAAAAGGAACAAAAAGGGATCCACAAATGGAGGGAAAAAGATTTGAATTTCAACGTAAAAATCGAAATCCAGAGCTATTAAATGTAGACAAAAATATTCAATGAATTCCCAAAATATATTTAATGCAAAGACCCTTAAATCCTGAAAGTTTCACCCATCTACCAAACCAAATTCATTAAGAAAACCCTAATTCTTGGCTTCCTTCTTAGTAGTTCCAAGATTAGGGTAATTCTCAAAATTTGTTTAAAAACTCAAAAAAACAATATCATATTTGTTTATGCTTGGAAAACAAGTGATTTCCAGTTGAAGAAGAAGACTGGGAGTGAAAAGAAATCAAAGGCAAGCTCTTTTTGGGTAATTTTTGTAGCATTTTTAGTTCATTTTTGTAGTTTTAAAGCAAAATTTGAATTATCCTTGTTCTTCATTTTCTATATTTTGATTTTTTAGTTATATTTTGTTTTATATCATATTTGTTTTGTTTTAATTTTCTAAAATTTTGTTTTTCTTTTGTTTTTTTCTTTAAATTTTACATTTTTTAATCTTTTCTATTTTATGATTTAAATTTAAGAAATAAAGTCGTTTAATTTCTTAAATCGTGGTGTTGAAGGTAGCTGTGTTTTCAGGTGAACGATGGGTCGGAATCTCAGTCCGATACTGCGGCAAGAGTTAGCCAATCTCGACAAAGATGCCGACAGTCGAAAATCAGCAATGAAAGCACTGAAATCATATGTAAAAGACTTGGATTCGAAGGCAATACCTGTCTTTCTTGCTAAAGTTTCCGAGACCAAAGAAACCGGCGAATACACGATCTCACTCTACGAGGTTCTTGCTCGAGTGCACGGCGTGAAGATTGTACCTCAGATAGGTAGTATCATGTCGACTATTGTTAAAACGTTAGCTTCCAGTGCAGGGTCCTTTCCTCTTCAACAGGCGTGTTCGAAGGTTGTGCCTGCCATTGCAAAATACGGGATCGATCCATTGAGTCCAGAAGATGAGAAGAGGCATATAATCAACTTGCTTTGTAAGCCTCTTTCGGAATCTGTTTTGAGCTCCCAAGAAAGCTTGAGTTCCGGAGCCGCACTTTGTTTGAAGGCGCTTGTTGAATCGGATAACTGGCGGTTTGCATCCAATGATACAGTGAACAAAGTCTGCCAAAGTGTCACCGGGGCTTTGGAGGAGAAGTCATCTCAGACGAATGCACATATGGGGCTGGTTATGGCTTTAGCAAAGTGTAATGCTCCAATTGTTGAAGCATATGCTAGATTGTTGATAAAATCTGGGTTGAGAATATCGAATGCAGGCATTACCGAAGGTAATTCTCAGAAACGATTTTCGGCTATACAGATGATAAATTTCTTAATGAAAAGCTTGGATCCGTGGAGCTTGTTGTCAGAGGTGGTGTCGATTATGGAAGAGATGGAGAAGTGTCAATCAGATCCGATGGCTTATGTTAAGGGGGCTGCATATGAGGCTTTGCAAACTGCAAAGAAGATAGCTAAAGGGTCAAATTCTGACCCGAGGGATCATAGTCGTAGAAAGAACTTAGTCACAACTGGAGATAGATCCCGGTCAACTGCTTCACCGGAATCAAAGACACTGGATTACTTTATGGAATATGAGTCTTTGCTCGAGTCACCGATTTCATCAACTCAAATTTCTTGCACTACAGAATATGATCGAAGGAGTGTGAATCGGAAGCTTTGGAGGTGAAAATGGAGGTGTTGATGTTTCTCTTAAAGATGGTTTGTTAGATCATTCAGCTTCCGACCGTCATGAACTGATTAGCAATAACGGATCGGATTACATCGATGAATTTGCAGGGTTATTGAATATAAGTACCAGTCCAAGTCCAACGGTAAAATACTTTAAATCATCTATTTCTATCCGGCTCTCATTGATTTATTTTTATTTTCGTTCACTTATCGATCGATAAACTGCATTTGCCTTGTTAACTTCTCCTGCTTCAGAGGTCGCGTTCTTGCATTAACATGGAGAATCTCTTCACGACTCCAAGGAAGCTTCTCCACTCTCTTCAAGATCCCAACTCAGATTACTCCGAGAAACATTCCCAGAGGCTCGCGAGTCCCCGCTCAGAGTATTCCGGATGGAATATAACCACAACCCAGAGCGATTTTCGGTGCGGTATGGTTTACGAAATCAAAGGGAAAGGACATATGCACACTGATGGTGAGGAATTTCATGGAGTTTTGGAATCCATGTCATCAACCGACGACAATCTGGCTGATATTGCTGATGTCCGAAGGTCTTGTGAGGCATTTCCTTCGACTGCAACTCAGGAGTTTCGTAGTGGGAAAGCCTGTAAGAAAACAGCTTATAAAATGGCCTTCGCCCTGTTCTTGATTTTAGTTGCAGTTCTCACTGCACTGTGGACTGAAGTTCAGGACGAAAGCTTCATTGTTGTCCCAACATAGTGGGAAGGTTGCCATTAGGATACACCAATTTGATAAATTCGAATTTTTAATATCTTTTCAAACCAACTTCAGATCGAAATTGGTGCTATTTGTATCGAAAACTTGGGGAAAACAAATGAGTTCATGTAATATAGGTTATGGTATAACCAACATCGATGCAAAATCGAGATAAATGAACAAGATGATCTTTAAACTCCCGACCACAAATCCCTAATTTATAAACCAATCACACTTCAGTTAGAAAAGTACATAACTGAACTGATTCACTAAAAACATAGATCATCACCACCCACCATAAAAATTCTAAAAGTATATCCAAAATTCTCTTTTCCAAGCTTCAAGTGTTTTAGCATCTCAAAGGAAAAATAAAAGATGCCTACACAAGGTCCGGAAACAAGAGAAAGTAATTAATCAATCATACCACACAACACTTAGTCCTCGTCCATTCCTGCAGGCTGATCTCTCCTCGCTGGACCTCCAGCTGGTTTTGCCATTATAATCTACAAACGGTGAATCAATGGCATTAGTGAGCTTGGTGGAAGAAAATTTTCAGAAAATGATAATTATAGATGTGATTATAATCCCATTGGCGTACGATTTCAATCGTTCTTTTCATTTTCAAGTTTTCTGTTTCTAGTCGCTTACCTGATCTACGCGTAGCACAGTGCAGGCAGCATCTGCAGCATATTTGAGAGCAAACAACCTGACAAGAATTCAAGATTATAATTATGCGAAATGTTTATTATGAAAGTAACAAATGTTCATTTTTGACACAAAAAAGAATAGACACGGGCAAGAAAAGATGAGAATTAACAATTACTTGGTGACATAAAGGTCCCATATATTCATGCTCGAGACATCCTTGCAAAAACCATCCTCCGAGTCACGTCCCCTCAAGTTGATACCCACTTTGGTATTTCCAGATGCATGCTTTTCATACAACTTAGAAATGATATCCATTGGGTTGAGTCCAGCATTCTCTGCCAGGGTTCTCGGTACCAATTCAAAACTTTCAGCAAACTTAGCAATGGCATACTGATCCAATCTGCAAAATATTCGATAATATTAACAGCTTCTCCTAGTATGTATCTAAATCTACAATTAATTTCAAAACTAGGAGATTTCCAGCAGAGCTATCAAAATGTACGTGAAAAATGCAAGATATAAACAATTAAATAAAAAATGCAAAAGTTGCTTTAAATGACACATTGTCAGCACCATATCTGAAGGCATAGTGGATCACAGGTAGAATGCCATGAAGCCACAAATATTTTCATGTCATTCATGCAAGCCAACACATAACCGTGCAGGTCAAAGATGAAACATTACATGCAGAATGGCACTTTGCAACAGGTAAAAGCAGAAGGATTAAAAAAATAGATTACCCTGTTTCCTTGAATGAGAACTCTTTCAGTCTTCTTGCCAACTCGATTTCAGAAGCTGCAGCCCCAGGTACTATACGACTGTCCCTGCACATTGCCTGACCAAAAAGTTTTAGAGCATTAAGAATGTAATAATGATTCTTTCCTTGAAATTTACATCCAAAAAATATACAGAAAAAACAGTTCCAGCAGGTGAGAAAGGAGTCCAATAAAGTTTATCAGGAGAAATGGTGCAAAAATCTAGGAAAAATAAGTAGAAACAAATAAAACAACCAGAAAAAATCACCTTATATGTATTCACTCCATCATCAACGGCTCTTTCAAGATCATCCAATATACTATCAGTACTTCCTCGCAGAACCACAGTGGCAACTTTGTTACCACCTTCTTCACTTCTCACAACAGTAACCTATATTGAAATGGCAATGCAAAATAAAGTGAGGAAAGGACAGGGAACCAAATATAACTAAAGCCACCTCTTCAAACATACCCGAGAACCACCGATTTCCTCAACAGATACTGAATCGATAAATCCCAAATCATCTGGCTTTGGTTGGCCGAGTTTCAGCTGTTGGAAGAAAAAGACCCTTTAGATTGCAATCAAAAGATATGATCTGTTTTCTTATAATATAATCTAGATAGAATGCTCACAAGAGCAGCTGTTCCTGTTGTGCGGCAGAACCGTCGTAGTTCAAACTTTGAGCTGATTTTCAATACCATTAACCTGCACGAAAAAGATAACAAATCAGAAATGTTAAAGAAGACTGCACAAGCTCCAAATCAAAATAATTATGATTCCAACAATAGGCTAATCTATCAACACATCATACTCAATATCAGGATTCAATCACATACATAAGAATGCATATATGCAAATCAAAACAGGAAAGAGCAAAGCATAGAGTTCGAAATATGGGAAGGAAGCTTAATATACTTGTAACGTTCACAAAAATGTAATGCCATTTCACCAACTGCACCACCACTGACAATAATTTTGGCACCAGAATCAGCAACTGCTTTGATGAGCTCCTCAACCTTAGCTTCTTCAGTTTTTGCATAATTCTCAAGCTGCAAGAAAATACCAAGAGAATATTTCCACATTTAGACATACTTTAACCAACAACAGCACCCTATACCAATTTACAACATGTAAAGATTGGCAGCACAAGATAAAAAAAAATCATAATGTATAAAAATTCACCAAATGGGAAACAAAGAAAATTTTGCTTATTTTGCCTAAGGGCTAAACCCACATATCTTAAAATAACATGATAAAAGGAATATCATAATTTACCTGGTCGGCAGAGTGAATTAATACAGTTCCTTTTGTTTCAGTTGCAGATGAATCAACACCACTAACAAACACAGCCACCTAACATTAAGTGAACACAACAATACAAATCAGAAAGCAACAAAAACTTTTAACTTGGCCAATTGAGAATCGTCGAGCAACTTTTGCAAAACTTAATCAATGAGAAATGAAAAAGAGAGAAAAAGATGTTTGCACCTTTGCCTTTTCCACACGTTTTATACTTCCCACAGCATCACCTTTTAAAACCATTCCCTGAATTACCATACAATTATGCAAACCTCCTCCAACAAGCTTTACGACACGGACATTATCAACATCAAAGTTCACAGGGTTCTTCGGACAAACTTGGATGCATGCCTAATAATATACATAAATAAACGAATAAAAATGTAATTATGTTATCCTTAAAAAGGTAACAGACAATAGAGTAGTTCATTAGTTATATAGAAGAACGAGTTGCAAATTACATCGGCTATAAGGGAAGATAATATATCTTCCTGTCCATATTGTTTGCTAGCAACAGCAGCTTTCATTCGAGTAACAACTTGCTCTTTATCCCAAACATCCATATTTTCAGAACCTTTCTCCACAAGTTCCTCCAAGACCTCAGTTGTCTACATATATTAAAACACGAAAACAGAATCCCAAATGATAACCAAGTTTATCATCATAATTAACAATTCTCGGGTCATTTAAATTATTTGGAAAATCAAAGGTTAAACCTTGGTAATTGCTTTAGTATATCCACTGATTATCTCACTCGGGTGCAAGCCCATCCGAATAAGCTCCTCGGCATTTTGGAGAAGCTCTCCGGCAAACGAAATTGTCAAATTAGCCCCATCACCAATTTCCTCTTGCTGAGCCTTACCTGCTAAAACTAAAATCTTGGCCGCTGGATGTTGAATCTCTAGCTCATTGACAATAGTAGCGGCATCATTGGTAACAAAGAGCTTGTCTAAATGATTAATAACCATCTTATTCATACCTAAAGAACAGTATAACCAAAAATTAAAGCAAATAAGGCACTACAAAAAGAGCAATCGATCCGGATTTCAAGATTAAAAAGGAACAATAGCAGCGCATCACTGATGACAGTAAATAAAAAATCAAAGCAAATGCTGAAAAGAAAAACTTGATCCGGATTTCAAACATGAAAAAAAAGACTGCATAATTCAAATAAAAACGTTAAAAACGGAAATTTGATGATCGAAAGGGTACCGTCGGGGCCGAGGGAAGTGCGGGTGATTGTTGAGAGCTGCTTGCAAGCATCGATGTTTTTTAGAACAGCTTCTTCAAGACCTGAGAGATGCTTGTGACCTTCCTTCAGCATCGATTGTATGCCATAATTTTGCATAGAGAACGCCATTTTCTTTCCTTCCTTTTCTACTCCAATCTTAATCAAAGAAGGTAATACTAAAAAAATCCAAACCCTATAAATGGGGAACTGTAACCTTTTTGGATTTGAAGAAGGAGAAGAGCGAAGTAAAAGCGTGAGTCGGGTAAAACCCTAAAACACTTTAATTAGATTATTTCTTTTAGAAAGCGTGATTAAAATTTGTGAATAGATTATTTAAATTTATAAAATATTTATTCAATTATTTATATGTTTTAATCTTATTTTTAATTAAAAATTGGTGACTATTTGAATTGACCGTTAATTTATATATTTATATATGATAAAATTATAATTTTAACGATGAATATTGACATCATCATTACTTTTAAGTACTAAATCGATAACATAATATTTCAAACACTGACTCAACAACATAATTTAAAATGTTCTATGATCAGATCAGATTAAATCATATATCAGTTAACAAGTTAATGTTCAACTTAAATAATCACTAATTTTTTTATGAAAAATGATGAGTTTAGAACATATGAATAGTCGAGTGATAATGTTGTAACTTTTAATAGTCGGAGAATTAATAAAATATTGTCCTATAATCAAATAATTATTTTATAATTTTTAATAATTAAGATACTCAAGAAACAATGCCCTATAATAAGTGATCATATTTTTTATTTTACCTTTTTAAAATAGTGATTATTTTATAATTTTTAATAGTTTGGAGACTATAATGAAAAAATGTCGATTTTTTCAACTAAGCTTTATAATAAATTAAAAATTTATTGATTCGAATATATTTAAAAATAAAAAAAGATAATTTAGTAATTTGATCTACAAAGAAACGTAGCTCCAAACCCTACTTCTGTGTTTATTGCTCAAGTATAAACCCTCGTAGAAAGGGAAAAAACCCTCAGAAGCTCGGAGAGACAAAACAAAAAGAGAAAAATAAAAGGAAAACGATGCGACCACCGAGAGGAGGAGGAGGTTTCAGAGGCGGAAGGGACGGTGGTCGAGGGAGAGGAGGTGGCCGAGGAGGCTTTGGTCGCGGTGGTGGACGTGGTGGCGGTGGGTTTCGTGATGAAGGACCTCCTGCTGAAGTAGTGGGTTAGTGTTCTCCCCCTGCCCCTTTTTTTTATTGTTTGGATGCTAAGAAAGTGAGAGAAATGATAAAAGAAACCATTTTGATGTAATGAGGATTAAGTAGGAACTTTATTTTATTTACTTATGATTTTTCCTCTATTTCCCTTTGCATTATCTGTATATTTTACCTATTGTTGGAACAAATTAAATTAAAATTTAAAATTATCACTAAAATTAGATAAATTGTTGCAAATAAGAGCTAAAAAATCGTTTGTCATGGGTTTTATGTATTTTTTCTTTTAAAAAGTACTTTTTCGTTAATTTTCTCTGCATTTCCACGTCCTTGATGAAGCCAAATACAGTTCAAGAAAAATGCCAATATCAAATCATCATATTTACATTATATTCTGATTTTTTATTAGTAAAATATATTAAGTTGTCATCGTACTCGAACTCGGTGTATCCGACCTTTTTATTAGTAAAATATATTAACTTGACTTTTGTTTGTTTGATGTATATGCAGAGGTATCTACATTCCTTCATGCGTGTGAGGGTGATGCAGTGACAAAGCTGACTAATGAGAAAATACCTTTCTTTAATGCTAACATCTATTTGCAAAACAAGACCCAGATCGGGAAAGTTGATGAGATCTTCGGTCCGATCAACGAATCTGTGAGTTCTATTGCTAATTTTCTAATGCATTGCTTGTCAAAAGTGTTTGGACTTTTATATGAGTTGGTTTGTTTACTTTCTCGCATGTTGCAGTATTTTTCAATCAAATTGTTGGAAGGTATCGTAGCGACTTCGTACAGCTCGGGCGATAAGTTCTATATCGACCCGAGCAAGCTTTTGCCTCTTGCAAGATTTCTTCCACAGCCAAAGTATGTTTGCTTTCCTTATATTAGTCCACCTCTCTTTCGAAATTGCTTTGATTTGATTCATAGGATTGATGGCTGTGTATTGGATTCGTTTTGAAATGATATGCTCTACTATCTCTATAGGGAAAAATAACTGAACTGTTCGGGTTTTAACAAAGCCCAATGCTATAGCAATGGTTTTCGGAAAATCGAGTTCAAAGGCAGGGCCTGTCGGTTTTTAAATTGAAAGTTTCAGGGCACATTGGGGGTGGTATTAGATAAAATTTGCCTTGCTTGAACTCTATAATATGTATTCGTTTTAGTTGGTAGAATTTTGGAAATGGAGTTCCAAGATTAGGGCTAGGGGAGTTCTTTATTTCCTGTCTGTTTGAGTGGCTAGGGCTAAGGTTGAGTTGGAGCTTGAGATGGATATTGGGTGAAAAATATTTGAAAACCGGGCGGGGGCGGGGCGGACGAGAAACTGATCCAACCTTTTGTGCCATCCTTCTTATATGATTTGATTTAATTTGCAGATTCTGATTATACTTCTTATTAATATCATGCATTCTGTCTGTGTTGTAGGGGACAGGCACAAGGTGGCGGAAGAGGTGGTCGCGGAGGAGGCAGAGGTGGCGGTAGATTTGGTGGCCGTGGAGGAGGTGGATTTCGTGGGAGGGGTGCCCCAAGAGGTGGTAGAGGTGGTCCTAGGGGTGGTGGCCGTGGTGGTGGATTTAGAGGCAGAGGGAGATTTTAGAGTGATCGTGTGTTGTAACAGTACCAATACCCCGTTCTGCTATCTTTTTCAATTTCATGGGCATTCAACTATGACTCTAGTATTGTTCAACGAAGATGTGTTTATTTCGTATTTTTGTTTATCCAAAGTATTGATACTCGATTTGAATATGGTGATATTATTAAATTTATGGATAAATTATATTGGTAGTATCTAAATTTTTGAGATGTTTGTATTTAGGTCATCGAACTAAAACTTGCATTGAAGTCAATGAACTTTTAATTTGCTTTCATTTTAGTCACCATATGACAGAGATGACATGCTCACATTTCTTTATTAATGTCATCTATTAAAATGACAAGTGCCGTCATCTTATTGGTGAAAATTTGAAGAAAATATGTATGAGTTTGGTAGTAAAAGACACTATTACCCTCATTTAATATATCTATTATAATCATACTTGAACACTTTCTTGTAAAAACTGAAAACTGGGAGCAGATTACATTCACTTCCATTGTAAACAAAACCGATAAAAGCATGGGGTTGCAACCGATCCCTCACCGGACCTGACAAAACGACAACCCATAACGGATGAACGGCAAAATGAACATTTGGAAAACGAAAACGTAAATTATGTTGCCGCCTGACTGTCTAGAACAAATTCTTCAGGCTGGCTATCAATGTCTTGAGAGGCTGTCAGTTTAGCCTTCTTGTAACTGCTTGAATTCCGAAGGATTGCATGCAATGACATGCTCTTTGGGCTAGAAGATCTGCTCAAATAGGACAAACAATAATTCGATACCATCCAATGGAAATATTTTAGATAAGACCTAGCTAAGACTATAATCTTCGATGGATGTTGGACTTACTGCATCCCCTACACTAGGTGCGAGTATCGAGTACATATACGTATCTAAAGTCACCTCATCAAACCTAGCCAAGAGTTTCTAAACCATAGAATATGCAACTTCTCTCTTAGAACAGAGTATTTATCAATGTTAATCCAAACTTACCCTGGATTTTGTTTCTTTCTTCCACCAGCTTCTTCGACTTCAGAGTCATAAGATCCTATATCGAAATTCAACATAAAGAGAAGAAATTGTCAACCTATGCAACCCAGGTCATAATTCATAACAAATTGACATGAACAAAAATGATTCAACAAGTCAGGCACATATAGAGAGGGTTTGGTCAGAACTAATAAAGAATATGAATTACCATTTTGTGGGGAACTGCCCTTCGCTATACTATTGCTTGAATATTCAGATGATGATGAACTATCGGATGGATTTCTGGTGCTGGAATCCGAGTTGCCTACTCCATCTTCATCATCAGAACTCTCTTTATCATCATGCCTAAATATAGTACCAGTAGTAGCCAATAAGCTCTTCTTATTTGCTAAGATGTTAGCAACTTTCCTGCTATTAGTTCCAGTAGCTTTTGCAATATCCAGATGAGACTGCGGCTCACTACCTCCTTTCTTTGAATTAATGGTCTTTTTAGGTGTTTCAAAGGCTCCTTTCTTTGAATTAATGGTCTTTTTAGGTGTTTCAAAGGCAGAGCTTGATACAGCACGAGGGTCGTTCTTCTTTAATTCTGTATGTACCGTTGAAGAATTGACATCAATGGGCCTTTGAGCATTATTAGGAGTGGAATTGAATTTTTCAGATTTCTTAGACTGTGGAGGTCCTTTCACCGCAATTTCAGGAATGATCAAGAGTGGTTTACTTGATTTAAAGTTGGAGCTACTAGGTTCAACCTTTGATGATAATCTTTGAGATTGGATGGAGCTGGCTTTGGCAGCTGGCATTTTTACTTCCTTGTCTTGATCCACATTTAATATCTCCGAAGGTCGTAACTCAGGTTTAGAGTTCTTCCTCCTTTTTCCTTTCACTGCAGTTTCCACTCCTGTATTTTGGGCAGCCTTATCAATGATTATTTCACCAGAATCAACAGTTTCACAATGCTGTTGGCTTTTGGCCGTTTCACTTCCACGAGGAACTTCTTTGTTGTTATTAGATTTCTCTACACGAGTGCTTTTAGTGTGATCTACACTGACATCTTGAATAGACCTTCCATCATGTTTCCGTTCAAGTGTAATTTGGTTAGATCCCAAATTTGTTCCATTCAATTGCACAGAATCACCGTTTACAGTCTTCCTTGTGGATTTAGACGAGGCATTCAACTCAGTCACATTATGAGCCAGAAATGTTGGATCCCGGTGATCAACATAACCTTTTCCTGGCAATTCTGGAGGGGCCATCACGGTAGAACTTTTATTCTTAGTTTTCTTCCGCAATTTCTTGTCCGTATTTTCTGCATTTTCTGGGGTATTGTTGCATCGCTTCAAGGACTCCAGCACATCTTGAATCACATCATCAGCTTTCACATCTGTAACTGAAGGCGAACAGTCTGGTTTTTCCATTTCTGATTCCTCTTTTCCATCAGTTTTGCAGGCTTGCTCATCATTATCACACAAATGCTCATCAGTCACAATAGTAGGACACTCGACAGGAGATATACCGCTTGCAGGAACACTATTATGTACTGCATCTACTGCCTCTGTTACTCCAACAGGACCCTTATTCTTCTTGGACTTCTTCACTTTCCTGGAAGACTTCTTAGGTTCCACAATTTTCTCTTCCAAGGTACCAATCTGATTTTCATCCCCTGATACCCCAAATGCTTTCTGAAAATTAATTCCCTCTCGAAACAAAGGTGTAAAATGGCCATCCACATGATTGGAATTCTGATCATATAAATCTCTTGTCTTTATTACTGATGCAACATCCGGTTCGGGTGCTTCATTTTTTTTGCTTTCCGAGTTGCAATCATTTGTTTCATCCATATCACTGTCACCTGATAAATGATTATTAATATTAGCAAAAAGTTAATTTTTGCCTCAATTATAGTAATCATGGAATCGAGAATGAGAATACAATTAAAATGAAAGGGGAAAAGACTTAAAATCCACTGCATATAAATCGAAACTTACCACCAGTGTGGGCCACTTTATTTGTTTCACTAACATCTTGCCTTTCACTTGGAGAGAACAAACAAGGTTCAGATATTACTCCACCCATAGAACGTTTACCAAGAAAAGAATCTGGATCAGTTTTACCAACTGAATCTTTGTCTTTGGCCACATTAACATCTTTTGCAGAAGAGACTTCATTACCTGCTAAACCAGGATTCAATCTTTGCCTTTTCCTTTTCTTACTCCCACCACTTGCATCGGCAGTTGACAAACGGTTTTGTTTCAATGATTCAGTGTTCAAGTGGTCAAAGACAGAACTAGTATTTCCCAGTTTTTGACCTAAAGTGCACTCAGAGATTGCAGTATCAGAACCAGTGGATTTTTCTCCATGTTCTATTAAAGAAATTTCATTACCATCTTTCCTCCCGGCTTTACGCTTTTTCTTTGATGCAGGCCCAGTTTGTAGGGTATTTTCTTTGGACTCGTATTCCCGGTCATTGTGAGAAACATCTTTATGTTCTTTAGTTTCCAATTCAGATTGTTCTCCTGAAACCTTTGTTCCCTCATCACCCGTCCTTTTCCTAGTGACTAACATCTTATTTCCATCAGAAGATAAACTTCCAACGGTTTCATCAACCTGAAGTTGGTTTCCCAACATCCCATCATTCTGAAATGAATTTTCCTTGAGAACATTGCCCGAATCCGATGCATCTTTCACAGACCTGACAACTAAAGCACCATTTTCCTTCAAATCATGGTGGATGGCATCTTTTTTTCTCTTTTTTGTTTTCAGCTTTGTAGCCACAGAAACTGGCAGATCTTCATATATTTTGTCTTCTCCAACATCTTTCGAGTGTACCATCGGCATTGACCCCTTATTGGTAGCAGGGAAAGAAACCTGAGAATCACTATCAGATGTATGTTCAGCTTCCTTATGCAAACCTTCGGAATTTTCTTTGATGGAATTGCTAAAACCAAACTGTTGAGATGCAGAATTCTGTTTTGCACAACAGTCGTCTTGATCTTGGGGCAATGATGCATCGTTGGCGTTGGCCAATCTAATGGCCATATCACCTGGGAGAATATCAACCACATCAGCAGAAGAATTATTAATTCCGGTACCGAAGCAGGTTACAACATTGTTGGTATCATACTCAATGTAATTATGATTTTCTCTATGCTCTTCGACAATTGAGGCATCTACCGATAGAAACCAATTTTTTATCACTCCACCAAACGCACTCTTCAGAAACATGGAATCCGAAAGGTGATAAAGATATCCTCTGCGCTTTACCTGTTCGTGTTGTGTAATCATTTCATTGTAAGATTTAAATCAACATCAAACACGTATAACAAGTAACAGCTAACAACATAAGTGTACAATATACATTACCAACCTTTAGTGCATGAATCTTTATCTCACCAATATTTGGAAAGCACAACGGATGTTCATACATTATCTTTTCTGCAAATCAAGAGCACAAAGATCTTACTAACTGGTTTAGTATAACATCTATACAAAGAAACTGAAATAACAATAAAAAACTGATTTTCTTTGGCACTTTGAAGTACATAAACTTTCGTGCTAAAAAATCAAATAAATAAAATTTGCTTAACACAATGAAAACCAAGAATACCGATAAACAAAAAATGAGAGGGCAAAAAGGAGAAAGTAACATACTTTTAAGATCAGAAACAGTGTCGGAGTCGGAGACGATCATGGCCAGGTGCGTGTCGAGGCTGGTGTCAATGAAAACAGTGTTGTATACATCCGCACAACCGCAACCGGAGGCGGAATCCGGCTTTTCCATTTAGTTTTTCAGAGGGAAGGGGCGACTTAAAACATAAAAAAGGGGGAAAGGGTTTCGAGTTTTAATTAGAGAAGAGTGGTTTTGTGGAATCAGGGTTTTTGATAGTGTAAAAAAAGGATATATTATGTATTTAACCACTGTATTATGGTTCAGTTTTATTTTAGTCACTAAACAAAAATATCAATGAAGGTATTAATGTTTAGTAATTTTAGAAGAACAAATCGTTGAATTAATCGATTAAATCAAAATTTACTTTGGTTAATTATGAATACTGAAGTATTCGATCGATGAACAATTTAGGTAAAATATATAAATAATCCCCGATTATAAGGTGTTGTTTTTGTTGAGTCATTAACTATTAAAAGATATAATGGTCTTTCTATTAAGGCATATTATCTTTTAGTCCTCAGACCATTAAAAGTTACATAATAGTCACCTAATATTCATATGTTCCAAACTCGTCATTTTTCGTTAAAAATTTGACGATTGTCTGCGTTGGGCGTTAACCTACTTATTGAGATAAGATAAAATCATATTTTAATTATGTCTACTAGCATCGTTATTGCTTTCATGTACTGACTAGACAACATAATGTTTTAAGCACCAGCTCAACAACATAATGTAAGCGGAGAGTTGATCTATAAAATACAGTCAAATTATTTTTATGATCATATGTTATCATATCACAATCAAAATGTTAACGTCCGACTCAAATGACCGTCAAATTTTAACAAAAAATGACGATTTCAAAACATATGAGTAGTCAAGTGACAATTTTATAACTTTTAATAGTCAATGACTCGATAAAACATTGCCCTATAATTGAACAATCGTTATGTGACTTTTAATAATCGAGACTCAACAAAGCAATGTTTTATAATCGAAAGATCATTTGTATACTTTACCTCAAATATTTAATAAAAAGAAGTTGATTCTCAATCTATCACTGATAAAGAATCTTAAAATTTTCAATTAATTCGAAAATCCACCAAATATATAGAGACAAAGAAGTTTGTTAAGCAAGTATAAGACTTAAGTGTTAAATCCGACCAAAGTTGACCGTTATGATATTGACACGGTGATTCATTTTTCTAATTTGATAGTCCACATGTGTTGATGACGTGACAAAAGGAGCGAAATGAATTTTTGTCAATTATGAGGACATAATTGTTTTTTTATTAAATTCAAACTAATTACTTTTAATTAAAAATTAGAATATTTATTTAAAAATAATAATCATTTTAATATGATAGCTTATAAAACTAATATGACGGTCTATATGTAAATGATAACATAATAGATAAAGTAAAATAATTTTTTTTATTATTTTTAATGATATAATTAAGTTTTTAATTAAATTCAAAATCATAATTAATTTTAAATTGAGAGTTCGTACACACAACTCTCCCAAACTTTTTTTATTTTGGGTAAATTACACGTTTAGTAACTAAACTTTACTCTCACTCTTATTTCACTCATTGTATTTTCAATTTTTTCAATTTACTCACTGAACTTTACATATTGAATTTTTTTGTCACTTTGTCATTAAATAATTAAACAACGTTATGACATGACAACTTACATCAAAACGAAGTCATTTTTTATTCCTGAAAAAAATTAAATTTTAGACTAAAACGACGTCGTTTTGATTAAAATACGGCTATGTTATAACGCTGTTAATTATTTAACGACACAGTGATCAAAAAATCCAATCTATAAAATTCAGTGAATAAATTAAAAAAATTAAAAGTGCGATGAGTAAAATATGAGAGAGTAAAATTCAGTTACCAAACGTGTATATTTTTCATGTACGAATTTGGAATATTTCTTAATTTGGGGTTCCTGCTTCTGTTTATATATATATATATTTCATTTTTTAGAAACTCAACTTGCAATGATAAAAAGGTCGACAAATTATTTAATGGAGTTGGTGTGCTATCATTTTGACTTCGTAAAGGCGCACAATATTATGCCAATATTTTCCAAATACAGAAAGCTCTGACTTTGCTTTCAAGTCCTTGAACTCTTCAGAATTGTAAAATTTAGTCCCTCTTCTTTTAATTATAGGAATTTCATCCCTCTACTTATCATATTTAAAAATTAAGCCTACCGATAACATTGTTGATTGATTCCTTTTAACTTTGATTACCACTTGAAATTTTTTTTAATTAATCCATTTGAATATTAAAGTGACATTTATTCAAATTCGATAAAAATTTATCGCAAGGTGTGGAGATGCTTGTTGCAGATTTAGAAACAATGTTGTTACGGTGGGGGACGTTTTTTGTGCGGCCTTCGATGAGGACAAGGATGGTAGATGCTTAACAGGTTAACTTGGGATAGACTAGTGTGACATTCGGGTCGCGTTTCAAAGAATTATGTCCTCTCTTAGATGGTAAATGATGGATGTTTATTTGGTTGTGAGGTTGTTCAATTGATGATTGATTTTTAACGATAAAATTTTATATTCATTGAAATAAATAAATAAATAAAAATAATTTAATGACAGAATTATCAAAAACCGGACCGAATCAGCTAATTGAATTGAAAATGATGATTTGATCGGTTGAAAACCAGTTGCATCAAATTTTAATTTTTAATATTTCTTATTTAATTATTTTTGAACGAGTGGTTTTAATAGTTGAAGTTATCAAGCTTGTTAAACCGAGAACTAGGTCTAGTTTGTACAACATTGATTAATAGTGGTATCAATTGGAGTTTAATTTTTAAATCAGGACTAAATCATTGAAAACAAAAATTGAGGGATTAAATTTTAAAATTTTAGATACAGGGTCTATGATCATAATTAAACCCATGCAAATTACAAACCCTAATTTTTTTTGGGGGAGAGAAAACTTCAATATTCAGCAAACGCGTTTTTCCCAATACATAGCTTTTAAATGTTGGCATTTGTGGGTTTTTTTCTTTAAAAAAGAGAATTCCCCCACCATTTGTTGTCCAATTTTCTTAACAATTCCAATCTATCGTCGCATAAACAAAGGAAAATAATTCTGGGTTTTTGTTAGAATCTCCAAATCTTTCCGTCATTGAAAAAAAATCGGGGAAAATGTGTCCTATGAGATTGTTGCTGGTGTTTTTCTCAGCGATTTTAGCTGGCTATTTCGCATGGAGAACGACGGTAGGTTCAACGGCTGATGTCGACGACGATAATTCTGAAGATTCCGGGAAAATTATTGCCAAAAACAAACGAGATTTCAGTTTCAAAACGGTACGTATTCATGCGATGTTGTTATTATTTCAATCCGAGCGCATTGTTTATGGTGTTGGTATTATTTCATGCATCATGATTGTTGGTATTTCTCCTGTTTGTTGTTGAATTATCAGATGATTAACAATGGATTCTGGGTATTTGTGGACATGGCTAGTGGGAGGTATTTGTGGAGGAATTTGAATGAATTGAATAATGATGGGAAAATCAAGAGCTCTTAACAGTTTTTGATCCTATAGTAGAAGAATGCAACACTTGCTTTCTTCTTCATCTTCTTCTTGTTGGGAAAATCAAGAGCTCGCAACACTTGTTTTCTTCTTCTTCTTCTTCTTCTTCTTCTTTCTCTTTTTCTTCTTCTTCTTCTTCATTTATCTGTTAATTTTGATATATTATTCATTTAGATTTATGTAATGATTATATATTTTCGTGTAAAATTAATAAATTTTATACAATATGAGTGAATTATACTCTATATGTATTTACTAATATGCGAGTTCTTTGTTGTTTTTTCCAAAGAATTTTGAATCTAAAAGATAAGAAGTACACTGGTTCTTTTAATAGTATAAATTAATTATAAAATAGTGTTTATTTATAATCTTCTTTCATTATTAATATTGCACACGAATTAAAAATACTTCATCTAATTATTAAGGTCACTTGAGGGTTCAAAAATACACAAATTAAAATTTATTAAACTAAATTTATAGACGACAATAAAGTGAATTAATTTGAAATTTTTGTTTGTTAACTCAATTCGAGGAATGAGAATCAACACTCGACCTTGACTTATCACAAGTAATTATAGTATATTGATGACAATAAATTTGATTCGTTTATCGTGAGTGATTCACCCTTTTTAATTTAGAAGAAGAATCACAATTAATAAAAAAATAGTCGTTAGTCAATGTTTTTCTATCAGGAACAAGAAAGAGTTTTATGAAGAGGGTGAATAATTCAAGAGGAAGAGAAAGTCTTCTTTTCGGTCTTACTTGGGGTGTAAATACCCTAATAACAAGGTGATTAATGTCAAATTTAAGGTCATCATAACTGTCAATAGGTTGTCAATTAGTATAAATACAACTTTCAACCATCAAATTTAATTGTCAAAGTCATATTAGAGGTTTGTGAACGAGAGCTTCAAGTGATCATCTGACTAAGATAATTTTTGAGATGACGTGACATTTTTGGAGGTCTCTTATGGAAGTTGCTCTCAATCTAGTGTTGGGGGCAGCCTACTATCTTACCTCCCCCTTACCTCATTACATATGGGAACAAGGGATAATCATTTTTTGAGCTGGTCGAGGGTGAACTTACTTAAGATGTTGGAGTAGAAGACATAAGAACTACCAGACACCATTGATGGAGCTTAGGAAGACGAAGATAATAAGCACAAGAATTAATAATGAGAAGACGCTTCGTTTTCCTTACGTCTTCCCGAAAGCACTAGGTGATCTTAACTTCTAATTGACACTGTAACATTTATCTTATTTTATCAACACCCCATATGAACAAATCTATTTTCACACTACATTATTCGAACACCCCATATGAACAAATCTATTTTCACACTACATTATTCAGACAAATTTACCTGTTTTAAGTGAAGTGTTTCATGTGGAATAATACTAAATATGCATGTCATCAACAAGACTAAAATGAAAAGATCATTAGGTTTAAATATTAACGTGAATGAAAAAGTCAGTGATCAAATTGAAATAATATCATATTTAGGGGCTAAATGAGGAATTGTCTCTTTCTAGTAAAAGAAGTTAGGGTAAACTATGCAAATTGTCACTAAAGTTTTAGTAAGTTTTAGTTTTTCCATTAAAGTTTCAAAAGTAACAAAATGATCATTAACGTTATCTATTTATAATAAATCGGTTACTAACGTTATTGATTTATAACAAATCGATCACTAACGCTATTGATTTATAACAAATCGGTCACTCACCACTAAGAATCGTTAATATGGGTGACATAATACGAATGTGGTACGTTACAGCCACATTGACTACTCTTTAACTCAAAAAAATATTTTTTATAATGATAACCCCATTTTTTTCACTTTTCCTTCTTCTTGTCCTTCATTCTCTTCCCATAGTCATGGAAGCATCCTCATCAACATGTCTATAAAAAAGATGTCCCATCAACCCTACCGCCATCAAGTATGTGATCAACACCATCAACAAAGGAAACTAACAATCCAACATTTTCTTCTTTTCATCTTACTCATGGAGAATGAAAGGAAAATTCATGACTTCGTGAACATAGAATCCTTCTTTCAACTCCCTTTATTCATCCCTCACATATTAAAGAAAAGGGTATTTGTTTGTTTGGAAAGGAATTTGGTGGTAGTGATTTAACTACAACAAGCAACGATTTAGACTCAGCTGAAGATATGACCAAGGAAAATAAGAATAACAGAGAAAATTACAAAAGATTCGAGTGCCATTATTGTTACAGAAACTTCCCCACTTCCCAAGCTTTAGGTGGTCACCAGAACGCTCTCAAAAGGGAGCACCAACACATCAAAAGAGCCCACCTTCACTCAGCTCAACTTCCCCATTTGTTATAAATAACGTTAATGATCAATTTGGTACTTTTGAAACTTTATTGAGAAAAATGAAAATTTACTAAAACATTAATGACCAATGACGTAGTTTACCCACAAAGTTAACTGATTTACTTTCCTCCTTCCACTGTCTACGCCGTGTTAAGCTTCCTATCATCTCTTTTCCATTTTTTTCTCACTCGCGTGATAAATGCGGTTTTTCTTTTAAAAAGGGTAAAACGAAGAAGTAAACTTGCTAAGCTTTCAACTTTCATCTAGCTTCATTATTGATCTCTCAGGTACTTGCCAATCTCCTTCTCTTTTACTTCCATGTTATGGGTAGTTTTTAATTTCAAGAAAAATCACTGGAATGGGATCTGGATCATGTGTTTTGTGGGTTTATATGTATACGATAAAGCATTTTACTTTTGGGGTTTATTTATGTCATCACTGTTAGATCACGAGAACACTGTTATTGAGTTATCTGGGTTTTTCATTTTGATAATTTTATAGATTGAAAACAAGGATGCATGTTATGTGTTTGTTGTTTTGTTTGTTCCATTAGCTGTTTAACGGTGGAGATTTCCTCACTATGATGTTTAGGATAAAATAATTAAGAATAAACCAGCTGTTTTTTCTTTTATTAATTTGAAACATATTTTAGACTTTACTGCATTCCAAATACTGGTCAGAACAATGTGAATGAATGGATTTTTTTTTTGAAATTCAGCTGTTATGTGTCCTTTAGCAGCTTGTTTTTCAGAAAGAAAAATTTGGGAGAACTCTATGAATGTGTATACACTAGGAAGGAATCTTTCTGCGACACTTCATCGAGTCGCCGATATGATCTTCCAATGGTTCTCCTAGTATCCAACACTCACACCTAAGTCTGAGTAATATAGCTAAGAATTAACATATAAAACGGTCACTATAAATCTCTCTTGTTATTTTCAAGTGGGTTAATGTTGTTTGAAATGTGGTTATGTGATTGCTGTTTTAACTCTTTTTGTGTTTACTTGTATACGTAGAGAATTGAAGACTAGGGAACTTTAAGATGTCGACTCTAGGAAATTCAATGAATATATTTTGGCAAGAATCACCAATTGGGAAGCTTGAAAGGCAGAAGCTTCTTAACCAAAAGGGTTGTGTTGTATGGATCACGGGTCTCAGTGGATCAGGTTTATAGTCAAAAGGACTCTCCAGATGCTTCTAGTTTTTCTTCCGAGTTAGGATTATCATTCCTAGAAAGTTAAAAAGTTTAGCAGCTTTACCTGGTCTGGAATTTGAAAATTGCTTCTTGAATTTGATTATCATGTTCAGGTAAAAGTACACTTGCATGTTCTCTAAGTAGGGAACTGTATGAACGAGGCAAGCTATCTTATATACTTGACGGGGACAACCTTCGGCACGGATTAAACAAGGATCTTGGTTTTAAGGCAGAAGATCGAACAGAAAATATACGCAGGGTTGGTAAGTATGTTGACAAGTAAAAGTCTGTAGAGTTAAAGAGTTCAGTTGGTGTAAATGGTAGTGTTTCTCAATAAAGATGTGTGAAATATGACCACGAATCTTGACACAAATTTATGAGACTTGTTATTGAACACTTAATGAGAAAAAACAACTTAATTGTGTACCATTACCATATCTTGATAAATGTCTATATCCTTCTGATTCTTAATTTTCTCAAAAGCACCCATGTTCGAGACATGTTTGTCATTTGGGTAATGGGTATGAGGGAATGATTCTCCGAATTTATGGAAAATACTTGGAAAGTGGTTAGGCATACCCTTATGGGACATTCACCCCCAAGTCCGAATAAACATGATTATAATGACGAGATGGTTTACAAGAGTTTGGCTTTTCTTCTGGTAGAGCACGGTTTGGGCATTGTTCTTTGATGTATTTCATTTTAAGTTGTTTCTAACATTTTGCATATAATTCAGGCGAAGTGGCAAAGCTCTTTGCAGATGCTGGTTTAATCTGCATTGCCAGCCTAATATCTCCGTATAGGAAAGACCGTGATGCGTGCCGTGCAATGTTGCCAGATTCTAATTTTATCGAGGCAAGCCTCTTTTTGAATGGTTCTCATCTTGATTATGTCGTTTCTACTTGAGCTGGAATGCCTTTTTCTTTGTACTTCTGCAGGTTTACATGAACATGCCTCTGGCATTATGTGAAGAGCGAGATCCAAAAGGTCTTTACAAGCTTGCTCGTGCTGGAAAGATCAAAGGTGTGTCAGTTAATTTGGATCTCTATGTTCACATACACAAAGAATCATATGTTCTATTGTTGACTTTTTTATAAAAAAAATAATTTGTTAATGTGGAATGATTTGTACGTAACTATCTGTGTTATTATTGCAGGTTTTACTGGCATAGATGATCCTTACGACCCGCCATTGAACTGTGAGGTATGTGTTTAGTTGAATACGGAAACTAATAGTAGTTACACTGAGAATTAAAATTATGCTATTATCTTATCCGATTACATCTATTTTTGTACAAATCTTGAAACCGGATAATTGTTTTGCTCAGATAGAAATAAATCAGAAAGACGGAGTTTGCCCCATGCCAAGTGCCATGGCAGGGGAAGTAGTTACTTACTTGGAGGACAAAGGATATCTGCAAGATTAGCGACTAATTATCCGTTGACATAGTCAAGTGTTCTCGAAAGCTGTCGTATTTAAAACATTACTTGTCGGACGAATTTGATTGTTGCAACATCGCTTCCCCAAAGGGATGGCTGTTTGGTGTTAATTACATCATCTAGTAGTAGTTTGAAATGAAAATCCATTTGTCCCAAGTAATTGTTACTTTTGAGTGGGACAGGGGTTTTTGAGTTAGCGTGCACATCCAAGTCCTTAACAACATTATTGTATGGAAGTTCCGGATTCAGGTCATCGGATTTATTATTTGTACTCAGGATATCTATTAATGAACTCCACTCGTGCTTTCGTCTTGAAGTTCTTATAGCTATGATATTCTAGTCTTTCAAGCGAGTGCATTCCGGGGTACCCCTTCACCTGAGGTGAATATTGTTTTATGTTATTGCTGTGGTTATATGATTGTAGAAGAATAAACTCCGGACTGGTGCATTCAGGTCTTATTTGTGTGGTATGATCAGAAGCTAGATTCTGATGCCACGGTCCGAGTGCTATTGCATGGTCCTCGAATTTTTTCCGAAGATGAAATTTCATTGATAAGTAAAATTCAGTACATAATAAAAGAAATATGATACAAGTTTCACAAGAAATTCAGACAAAAAATCGAATCAGTTTTCGATTAACTACCGGCCAGTGCTTCCAAATGCCATGGAAAACAGCATACGACTGGCTTTTACGACCGTGGGACTTTCATCAAACCTTCATACTCAAGTAACTTTCAAGAATCTAAAGAAATACATATGGTTTCCACTAAACATTCGTACCCAAGTTACAAGTAGCTTTCAAGTACTTAAAGCAATTTCCCGAAGTCGATTCATGTTTAGACTTTTTGTCGAGTTGTATTCTTGTTCTTCGACGAGTTCGTTCGAGTATGTTCTCCTGATGGATAGACTTTGGGATTTTTTACTACAGTCGGCTACATATTTATTGTCCCTCAGCTGTCTCACGACCTGCAACGAAAACAAGGACATATATGAGCATGAGAAAGAGGCCAAAACATTGCTTTGATGCCAAACCAGTATTGAAATATTCAAACCAAATTAATTCAACCGACTGAATGTTCACTCCTAAAACCGAGCACTTCAATACCAGTTATAAACAATTCAGTCATACCAACTTCGAGAATAATCCGAAAACAAGAGCTCCAATACGAAAACATTATCGTCCTCAGTTATTCAATGAGAGTTTCATTCTTATACCATCTACTTACTGGTTCATTGTAAAGCATAAGCAAGACTCTGACGAGCAGATGGTACTCTTGAACATGAACAAACATGCAATTCAGAAGTCATAACGTTGAAAATATCAGCACGCCAGAAGTAAATGAATTGCAATGGACTTGGCGACATGAAAAGAATTAAATTAAAGTACAATTGATTTCTAAGCATATCCTGTTAATATTACCCTGGTTAATTAATTTCTGGAACAAATATTCGAGAACTTAAAAAATCTAACACAAACCTGCTTCATTTGAGGCCGAAGAAATGGAGCATGCTTGATGCACAAGGAAGCAGTCAAAACCATGCGATCCACTCCCTTTACGTCGTAATCATCGCCTAGGGAGGGATCAACGAGCTCTTTAATATCATTGTTATCTAGCAGAGGCTTTGCCTGGAAGAATCAAAAGGGTAACTAACGATTTCTATTACGATTATGATATGGTTAGAGTGATCAAATTCGTCTTGAGGAATGTACCCATACTACAATGTTTTGTTGTTGATCTAAAGCTCTCCGTCCTGTTATGAGCTCCAAAAGTAAAACTCCGAATGCATAGACATCGGTTTTCTCATCAACTATGCCGTGCATGAAGTATTCAGGAGCTAAGTAGCTGCATCTCCAGAAACAAATACATTAGCATTACCAAGTACATATTTATTAACTCAATACGGATACTTTACGCTTACAAACCCAAAGGTGCCTTCGAATTTCGTTAAGTTGTGGTGTGTCCACTGTCTCGGTAGCCACATTGAAAGGCCGAAATCGCATATCTGGATGACAAATCGGCTAACATAATCAAGAAATAGAACGAATAAAAGGAATGGTTATACAAGATTCATTATGAGCTTTATAAAATAACTGTCATAAACTTAGTTCTCATAGATAAATTGCTTTATCTTAACAAAGAAAAGCACAAAACTATGCCGCTGCAAACTTATAGGCAGGATATCGAGTCGGAATACTAGACTTTCATAACTAAAAACAGCGTGTAATATTTAAAACTCACACTGCATTACATAATGGAGTGAGAGTTTCATGATTTCTCTGTATCATGAAATATTATATATAGATGTGTTTTTGATTCTGTACACTCTGGATTCTTGCAAAACTTACACGGCCCTCGGTCATTTTAAACATCTCATTTGATGTACCCTTGGAATTTTGACTTGAAAAGTACCTGGGGCTCAAAATCTTCTGTAAGAAGAATATTTTCAGCCTTGATATCTCTATGAATAATCCGCCTGTCGCAAAGATCGTGAAGATATCTGAGGCCATCAGCTGTACCCAAAGCAATCTTGGATCTTTTACTCCAATCTAGTGTACCTTTTGGTCCTGAATAATGTCGAGAGCATAAAAAAGTTTTCATATAAATCGAAAGTGATAATGACTTGAGATAAACAACGCAGCATATTAGAAAAACACACCGTGAAGAACGGATGCCAAACTTCCCAATCGAGATAACCGAAAAACAAGGTGCATTCCTCCTTCAACGCCACACCCTATCAATGTAGCAGTGTTCGGATGGTTTACATGGGCTATAATGCCAAGCTCAGACAGGAAACTGGATGTCCTCTCATCATCTGTCCCATTTGTTGCTCGTTTTATCGCGACAAACTTTCCGTCTTTCAAACGGCCCTTGTAAACTACTGAGTAACCACCCCTTCCGATTATGTTCTCTACAAGAAAAGAAACTTATATTTGTCTATATCCACTGTCATTATATTTTACTGTTTTTGCAAGTATTCAAAGCATTGAAATTAATTGCATACCCGGGTTAAAGTTGTCTGTTGCAGCTCGGAGCTCGGGTAGGCTAAAATTCTGTAAAGAGGACTTGAACTTGTATATATCTCTCACCATAGGATTTTCTTTTGCGCTTCTAGCTATCTTTCTCGACCACTTTGATGAAGAAAGAATGGGGATCGAAGCTAAGCGCTTTTTCGATCTTTGTTTCCATAATTTGAAGAGCTTTTTCCAGTTAGCAAGTGCTCCAGAACCTACACGACTAGTTCGCGACTTCGAGCGGGAATCAGTAGTAGTTTTGTTGGATTCCAAGCCTTGGTAGCATGCTTTTGTAGCTCCTTTAGGAGAGGATCCATCTTGTTTCTCCTCCTCGACATTGACACCTCGCAATTGTTCAATGGAATAAGAAACAAAGAGTGGTAAAGAGCTCGGAATACCGAAACAGATGAACCATAAAAAGAGAGATAGAGATAACTACCTTGAGCTGATCCATGTGATGAATTCATAGTATCTTGTCTTGTATATCTTGTTTGAACAACCAAATCTTCGGAGTTCTTTTCCAGCCAGTCGACCGAACACATGGAATTCAGGCTGGCAGAAATCAAAGACAGTAACAAATTAACAATCCAAATAATGAATCAGAATCTGGATCTGTGCTTGGTTCATCATGTGTATAGGAAAACGAATGAAAATCATCATCACACCAATGAAAACCTGAAAACCAAAAGATTGAAGAAATACATACATACATACATACATACATACATATATATATATATATATATATAAACATTATTTCCATAAAAGAGAACAATAAATGATGAACATTGGAAACTTTACCAAGGAAAACAACCAAAAATGCATATTTATCATATATAATGTATATATATATATATATTAATATATATACACAGAAAATCCCCAAAAATGAAACTAAAAATCACCACGTAAAATGGGAATGAAAACCAGCAATCCTCTTTGTGATATTGAGAACAGCAGCATAAAGAAAACACAAAAAAAAATCTATATTTTCACATATTTGCTATAAAAATCAAATGGAAGAAACCACCGGGGTACAAGTACAACACATCAACTATTTGATGAAATGCCAAAAAGGACTCACTGCTAACATTCAATGAAAACTAGAGTGAAAAAACGAGGGAAAATCTTTTCAATGAAACTAAGGCATACCCAATGAGATAACTTGATGAAAAAGACATACAAACCTTAAAGTAGTTTGTCTATGGCCATCAATGTGCATGAAGTCTTTCAAAACAAATCAAACAACAATGAGGCATAGAGAAAGCAAAGCATGTTAAAAGCTGATTCCAATGATATTAAAGCCTTGCTCTTTACTATATGATTTTGAACTCCTAAACAAAATCCATTATATATGTTTTCTTTTTAGTTCTAAGACCCTGAAAACGGGCAATCTCTAAAAACAGTTAGCTATATATGGAAAACTTTCCATTGCTATTTAAGCAGCAGTATCTATAAACAGATATTTACGTTGGTTTTGACTATATAGAGACAGAATTCCCAAATTTTGAAGTTCTTTGAGCAAATTTCATGGAATATCAACGAAATTGTTTTCATTTATTTTTAATTAATTCCATATTTATGCTTTTTCATGCGCAAATATCTAGGTTTTTTTAAAATTGAACCTCAATACCAATACCAATGGATGTGGAGAATTGTATTCAGTACAAATTTTCTAATTCTATTTTTTGTGCAATTCAAGATTGTTCCATTAATTTTTTTGAGCTAAATTGAACAAAATAAAATACTTATCAGTTAGGATCAACCTCCTGGAGGATTAATGCATCAATCTCAGTTGGTGATTCAGCAAAAGAAAATCCCGTCTCCGACATTCCTTCCACACGCCGTTGCTAGCTGCTGCAAGTATGCCAGCTACTGAGTTCGCCATTAATGATTTTGACATTGAATCTCCACGAGTTGAAATTATGTGTTGTATGTGATATACCTTCAAAAAACACGTACCAAAAAGTAGCAAAGATTTAATATCAGTTCGGTTTCAAATGTCAAAGATTTAGCAGCCCCAAAACTTAAATCCCATACGAAAATTTTTCCATTTCTCTCTATCTTTGAATTAATCTTTCTATTTGCTGCTGCCTTCTGGTGTTGACAAAAGCATAAATTCAACTCAAGCAGTCAAGCTCTTATTTTATCTCTGGGTAATCTATTTACTTAATCACTCACCTATTCTTGTAGCTCTGTTTTGGTAATCTAACTATTTTATTTTTCAAAATCATACTTAATATTACGATTTGTTCTGTTTTGGTCACCCCTTCAAAAATTAAGGACGATGCTGACGTATCACCATAACATAATGCCACATCATTGTTGATTTTTTATAAAAAAAATCATATCAATAGTTATATTTGTTTTCTAACAATAGATAACCAAAACAAAACTAAAACGTAATCTTATTTTTTCTTTACTAATCTGGATAAGTATATGGCAATGTTTGTTCAGAGATAACTCTCAGTCATTTGACGTTGAATGCTCATACTCCTGATATTCATGGCGCTCGAATCCGAGATCTCAAAGAACAACAACAATTTATTCACTATTGAGATCATTCGATCCGTGCCAAAAACACAACATTAGGGTAACAAAAACGGGACCACAAGAACAGGTGATTGATTAAATATTTTTTTCCTCCGTTTCTTTCTATTTCATGGCAGAAATGAGAGAAAAGTTCTGCAATACATCAAGTTTGGGTTTGCTGAATGCAAAGTAAAACATACACCGGTTGCTTGATAATCAAGTCTTTGATGAGTTCGAGTTCGAGTCTTTGATGAGTTCGAGTTCGAGTTCAAGTTCATTTGTGTAGTTTTGCTGCTTATAAATACTTTCGGTTACCGAATTTGGATATATCTATGAGCTCAAGTGTTTGTTGCCTTCTATAACAAGGAATTACTTAAGTAAGATCAATGATTCAAATCTTAATTATTATGAATCGAGTAAATTGGGTTGAAAATATTATTCCTATAATAAATCTCTATAAAATTCGATCTAAATTAATTAATTAATAGATTAAATACCATTAGTTAATTCAAAAAAATCATTATGATATATACATTAAGTTTATTAATTATCATGTCAATTTATCCATCAAATGTTAATAACAAGTGACTTAATTGATATTATTTAAATAGTTAAACTATTTTATTGATAAAATTTAAATATCACTGGTCAGACGGAAACCTCTCATAATTAAATGATCATGAGTGTCGGTCTTGGCTAGTGCGTAAACTTTATTGTTTTGTGCTTATCCATCCTAAAATAACATTTTTAGAGTTGAAAAGCAACGTCGAACACACCATTTATTTAGTAACTGATGCTTTTGATTTCTTATCGGTTACTGATCTTGATCAATGTGTAAACTTTATTCTTTTGTGCTTATCCTTCTTAAAATAATATTTTTGGATCGAAAAATAATATGAAATGCACCTTTTATTTAATAACCGATATTTTTAACGGTTGTTGTCTTGATCAATGTGTAAACTTTATTCTTTTGTGCTTATTCTTCTTAAAATAATATTTTTGGATCGAAAAATAATACGAAATGCACCTTTTGTTTAGTATCTGATATTTTTAACTTTTTAACGGTTGTGGTCTTGATCAGTGTGTAAACTTTATTATTTTGTACTTATCCTTTCTAAAATAAAATAAACGCGCAAAAAAAACTGTCAATTAATTGTAAATTTTATTATTTTGTACTTATTTTTTTAAATAGTTATTTTAGTCCCTATTGTTGACGGTCAATTAAAATAATTCATCTATGGTAATTTTATGAATTTAAAATTTTTAATTTATTTTTTTCTCATTTTTATCTCTCGATACAATCTTAAAATGTCACGTTATCCAAATAAATGAAAAAAAATTAAAAGACTATCATGAACAAAAAAGAAGAAGTTAGAATGAAATTCAGGGACCAAGATAGGAATAACTGCAAAGCTTAGGGATCCATTTTTAAATGTTTCGGGCCAACAATAAAACGGACTACAAATTCTTTCAAACTTCAAAGAAGCCATTTCAGAACCTCAAACTGAAAGATTGAAAAGCTTCAGCAGTCTCAGCTTTGATCAGCTGAGGTTACTCTTCAATGTCTTCTTCTAAGAGGTAAAGTAAAGATTAAAGGCAAAGCTTCGAATTCCTTTGCATTTTTCATATATATATTTCCATTAATTAATGTTTTTAGCACGAAAAGCTTAAAGGCAAAGCTTTGAATTCTCATTTTTTTTCCTGAATTTAATGTGTAGTTTAATCCATGTTATTTCTGGGTTTTGGAATATGATATTGAGTATTGATCATGGTTAGAAGTGTTTACGGTTCTATAAGATTGCTCTTGGTTTTGGATTTCATTGCCAAGAAACCATATATTTTAGGGATTTTTGTGCATAGTACTAAATTGTGGTATCTGCTGCGGTGTCGCGGTTACGGATGTTACGATGTTGCGGGTGTTACGATGTAGCGGACGTTACAGCTTGATTTGTTTCCTTATTATATTTTAAAATTATGGTTAGGTGGCCTTGAAAAGCGTTACACTGCTTTGCGGCCACAATTTAATACTATGTTTTACAAGCTAATTCTTCATTTTCTTGGGAATCTTGATAACTTAATTTGATCTCTTTTGTGGAAACTAGCATTGTGTTGTTCTGAAAACTTAAGGGCAATGTTTATTGACTTGTCCCTGCTAAATGACAGTTCTTTTACATTTTCCTTTTTAATACTAAATCTGCCATGAAACTTGTTATTCTTACTGGGTGTGAATGTCAGATATTGGTGTATCCATGCCTGAGTCGGAGCGACATAGACTAAAACCATTTGAAAAACACGGTTTCCTTGCTTGTACACACCGACCTTGAAGAGTCGGGATCGTAGCTTGTATAGTTCAGCACATTGGTGCTAGTAAATGCATTCACAATGCTACTATAAGTCATATGATTAAGCTTCAATTTCATTGAAGAGTTAACTAAACTCTTGAAGTAAATCAAGAATTAAAAGATTGACAGAATAGGGAGTATCTTTTAATCTCTACCAACAATTTATGGCTAATCGAAAGGATTCACAGTAAGAAAAAACGGATTTCGAATACTCGAGGTGAAAGAACTAATATTGTGGCTTGTGATAGTAACGTAGATAAGAATATTGTGTGTTCATTTGCAAAATTGACAGCTTATGAGTCTTCTGACAGGTCTAAAAGGAAAAATGCTGGAAATTATGAGCAAAAAGTTGGTCCAACAAATCCAGATGAGAAGTTTATCTCACCGGGAGAGAAGTCAAATGTAGCCGAAACAATAGGTCCGGCTATGATATTTCTGCCTGCTGGAACAAGCCAGGAGGAGTTGGATGCTGCATTGGCTTCTACCAAATATGGAGTTGCTTTGACTGGGGCTGCGGCAACTGGCGCATTGGGACCGATTGTAGGGTTAGTGGACCTTCGTGAATGGGAGGATTCGTACTACTTTCGTGTCACCCTTCCTGGAGTATCACAGGATAAACGTAAGTTTTTTTCGAGGTTAATCACTCTGTTCGTCATCGATTATGATGTGGGATGCAAGTGTATATCTAATCCCTTGAAATGAACCTAGCCTATTTGTCAATTCTGTGCATTAGAAAAGCTTGAATCATCTTATTCGCCTGTCTATCTGTTCGTGTTGTTACCGGGAACAATATCTCTGATATTCGATTTACACGAGTGCAGAAGACTTCAGTTGTGACATTGATGCTGATGGAAAAGTGCTAATCAAAGGGATATCAACCACAGGTGAGAAAGTAGTACAAAGGGGCTCTCTAACCTTCACTATGGTGACACAAAATCTCTGCCCGCCGGGAGAATTCACCGTTTCGTTCGAGCTACCAAGTCCTGTCAATACCGAAGAAGTTACTAGTCATTTAGCTGACGGGATGCTTGAAGTCATGGTGAAGAAAAGGTAATTGAGAAGGCTCAGAGAGCAATGGAGCACAATGGTAATGGCTGTTTCTTTGAGTACATTCAATGTGGTAAAACCTATACCATAGACTTTGAGCATGAGTTTAGAAAATGTGTACATCCCAACATGAAAACTTTGGTACTTTGGTGTTTAATATGTATTTATTTTCTCCGAAATCTCAATGTTTTTTAGTCGTATTAATTTCGATTATATCTGAAATTAAGTTGAAATATAGTATTAGTCTTGATTATAAGTTGATTAGGATCTCTAATCAGTAGGGCTGAGCAACGAAACCGAGAAAACTGACACGAACCGAGTAAAATAGTTCGGTTTCGGGTTGATTTAAAGAATCAATTCTTGATTTGATTCGGTTCGGGTTTTCCATATGGAACCTACTTGTTCCATATTGAACCGAATAAACAATTTTTTTTGAATTTATAGTTTCAAGTGAATTTTTTATTGAAAAACCGACGAACCGATTCGAAAAACCGCATTATCGAACTGAACCGAAAAAATCAATTTCACATAATTTGATTTTTTAACAATTCGATTTCGGTTTAAATTTTAAAAAACCGTTTATTTCTGTTCGGTTTAATTTTTAGTAAAAAATCGAACCAAATCGAATACACCCCTACTAATTAGAGATGAATTATCTATAATATTTTCTTCGTCAATAAAATTCGAACTCAAAATTTTATTTAAAATAAATGAATATTAAAAATGAAAATGACAATTGAAAGAAATTGCAGGACTTAAATGAAAAAATTGATAGCCTTTCCCTCTTAAAATGTCCATTTACCTCTTCTTTTAAATCTGTTTACAATCTCCATCATTGGAGAATAAACCCTAATTTCTCTAATCCATTTCATTCCTTCATTTCCCCTAAACCCTAATCCTAACAAAATTCCAAAACAACAAGCCCCCAAAATCCAATCTTTAAACCCTCTTCTCCACTCCTTGATCAATGCAAACACAAAAAAGATGAACCCCATAATCCCAAAAAGTAATTCGCTTCTTAACTCTCTGCCAAGCAACAAACAAACAATGCAGGATCCTAGAATCACTAAGAACCCTAAAATTTCAGGCCAAATCATTTTCTCATTGTCCCTCTCTTTTTCCGTGGATAAAACCTTCCTCCGATGAAGCCATTCAAATACCGGAGGCCTCCGTCCGCAGCGACTAAATGTTGAAGGACCAAATCCAACGGTTGAGGTTAGATCTTGAGATTTGAAGCCAGGATTGAGATCAATTCGAGTGCTGAATTCGCTGATCTTTTGGAACCATGTCTCCTGCTTTTTCTTGCACAAATAATCGGTTTTTGGATCTGGGATTTGCGATAAAGCGAGGGAACGGCGGTGAAAACGGGTGATTTCGATGAATAATTGAAATTTTGAAGATAAATGGTTGATTCGAGAAATGGGTTTAACAAGATAGTGGTTCCGGGGCGAAGAAATTGGGATTTGAATTGAATGGTGGACTGCATTGTTAGGGTTTGAGTTCCTGAAAATGAATGGACGAAAAAATAACTAAAAATAGATGGAAATTTGGGGAGGGGGAAAATCAAACGTTAAAGGCTGATATATTGTTTTCGGAAATTCTTTGAGGCGAATGATTCTGGCGGATGAACTCCATGCAAAATTTTCAAAACCTAGTCCTGGTGATTCACAAATCATTCATGGACCAGTCCAATCAGTCCCAGCCCAAATGAGCATTTGGGTATGAGAATTTAAAAAATTTCGAATTCGAAACTTATTTATGGATTTTTTTATAAATAAGATAATCAAAATTATTTAAAAAATTAAGTAAAGTACACAAATGATCCCCGGCTATAAGGTGTTATTTTTTTAGTCATTTGACTATTAAAAGTAATAAAATGGTCTTATAACAATAAGACGATATTTTGTTGAATCTTCGACTATTAAAAGTTACGAAATAATCTTTCAATTATTTATCTATTCCAAAACCATATTTTTTCTGTCAAAAAAATGATACTCGTCTAAGGTGGACGTCAACAAATTAACTGAGATATGATAAAATCATATTTTAGTGATGTCTACTAGTATCATCATTGCTTTCAAGCACTGACTCGTCAGCATAGTATTTCAAGAATTGGTTCGATAACATAATAGAAACGAAATTTCGATAAAAAATATAGCTAAAACGATTCTAGGTTCATATTTTATTAGATATTAGTTAATATGTTAATGTTCATCTCATACAGTCGTCAATTTTTAACGAAAATTAAGAATTTTCAATATATGAAGAGTCAAGTGATCATTTTGTAATAATTAATTGTCAGATGACTAAACAAAGTAACACTTTATAATTAGAAGATCGTTTGGTAACTTTAATAGTCAAGAGATTCAACAAAACAACTCTTAATCTCTTACAGTCGATAGACCATCGGAATACTTTATCCTAAAAAATAATTATAATTTATATAATAATTATCAAATCGTCCTCGAATATTGATGACTTGTAAAATTATCATGTTTAACAAAAAAAATTGAAAGAATTAAAGACGTCGACAATTATTCTTGGTTTTAATAGTATCATTAGTAATTGTCAATAAATTTCATCATATTTAATTTATTATTGTGGTATATGACTTTTTTTAATTAATTACTTATATATTTGATTAGTGGGGGGTGGGGGGGGGGGGAAGGAAATCAAAAGAGAAAACAAAATCATATCCAAATTTTGACCAACAAGGTTTTCCAAGCAGCACAACATTGACTTAGTTATGAATTATTTAAAATTAAAAAAAATCTTAACATTTAATAAATTGTATGAATTAAAAAATATTAATTTCACATATTAGCATGCCTTAATTATCTCATATTTAAAATTGATTAATTATTTGACGTCTAAATTTTTATATTATAGATGTATTTAAAATATCATGTATATTCTTCTATGACTACCTTTATTATAGACTTGAGTATCAGATGCTCGAGTTTGAAGTTCGTCTTTGTATCTAGGGAGAGGAATAAGGTAGCGAATAACATGGCGAGACTGGCATGATCACAACCGGCAGAATTACAGATTTTTCGAACAATCCCGATGGAAGCGTTCAAAATAGTCCAGGAGGAGATGCGCGAGGCTCCAATGCAGAACAAAAACAACTAGCTCTCAACATTTATAACTTGTTCTTAAAGTTTTTGAAGTTCTAACAACTTGGATCTTGTTCTTTTCAGGACAATAACCTTCGGCCAACTGAAGTTGAGGATGTTTTCTCAACTGCTCTAGAAAGGTACTATGATTCCCATTTGAAATGATATTAGTTTTCTTTCTTTTACTAAAGTGCAGTATATTCCCTATTGAAAACGTCACTAAATAACACAAACAATACCGGCGTTTTACATAAAAACACCACAAAAAGTTTAGATATTTTGCGGCGTTTGTAACAAAAAACGCCGCTATATACCAGATCTTTTGCAACGTTAGTATCTGAAAACGCCGTTATATACCATACCTTTTGCGGCGTTTGTATCCGAACAACGCAGCTATAGATGTAGACATTTTGCGGCGTTTATATCCAAAAAAACACCATTAAATATTTAGACTTTTGCGGCGTTTATTCAAAAAACGCCGCTATATCTCTTCACCTAACGGTGCTAGTTTTCCCGGCGCTTCTTGCGACGTTTTTCATAAGCGTTTTTTGCGGGGCTTAAATAACGCTGCTATAGGTAAAAAAACGCCGCAAATGTACAGTTTTGCTGCAGTGCAAATTTAAGGGCCAGTATGTCTTCTCCATCCCAACTATGTATTTTGTATATATAGTTATCTCTATCATTATAAGTTTCCAACAGGACATTGTCATGGATAATGCTTGACATTTTTTCTGTTAAACTTCAGCCCTTGGAGTGATGTTCCATATAAGGACGCTGCAGAAGAAACTGTTCTGGGAGGGCTATCACTTGATGCATATCTGTCAGAGGTATTCGTGGTTTCCTCTCTCGAACTGCGAATATCATACTTCTTGTGTTATCATAAGAATTAACGCATTGTCGACCACGCAAACTCCGGGGAACTTTAACGCATACTGGCTTATGAAAACTTTGACTTCCTCTTGTTTGGAGTTTTGCAGTTCGAATATTGATTCGTTATGGGAATAATGACCAGCAACTCTATAAACATTCGTGGTTTCTTATGAAAATGTTGCACTGCAGTTCTTGTTGCAGTTGGGTGGGTTGGCTATTGGGTTGATCAATACTGCATATTTTGGCTATTATAGATTAACCTGTGCTTGTATTTAATGATTTATATTGTGCACTGCAGTGGGCCCTTATGACACTCCTAGACCCAGCACCATGCACCATGCACTATGCACTGCAATTGAACATGAATGGAGGACACGACCTCCAAAAGAATTTTTTAGAAAAACAGATACGTGCAAGAATCATACCTGTATTCGACACTGACACCTGCTTCCAAGTAACACGTGTTTGGGGAAAGTACGAACTTGCATACAATGTACAATTTAAATCCTTGACCAGATCTAGGAAGGATTATGTTCAAGTCTTACGCAGGATGTTCAGGCGCTTCGTCTTACTGTTCCTTGGAGGATTAATGTACAAGCTGAAATATGTATTTAAAATTTTGCTTTGCAGCTATCATCCTTGTCTTGCTTCCCGGTTGCTTGTTCCTTTTTCGTCCCCTGCGCCCTTGTTTCTGAACTTCCCTCTTCATATTTTTATCGATAATCACACTCGCAAGGCCGAATTGTTTGATCATTCCGATGCTGTTTTTCACCATTTGCAGTTGGAGCCGCCGTGGCCATAGTTGGGTTTGCAGCTTACCATGTATATGCTGCAAGGAGGAACTCCTCCCATTGAGGGACAATGATTCTACTGTCTCCGACATACTAGACTCGGTAATGTCATCTTCTTAGAACAACCATGCATTTATATTGCTCGGACCCTTCAGTTTTCCGACATAATCTTCTTCTTTTTTTCCCTTCCTGTTCTAGTGATTCGTCTTGACTAATTCAGATCAATTCGCGTCGCACACCTGATTTTAGTAGGTGGGTCTCCCAGCATAGATTTTTTGCATACATAAATATTCGAATTTGACACATTGTTTAAGGTGATATCAAGTTGTTTATTGCTTGAATCAACCCTTGTTGGTAAAAATCTTTTAAATATATGCAAAACTTTTAAATTTTGAACATATTCATTTGAAACACGTGTCTTAATTTAATATATATTTCTTATATTAAGGATGAGCAAAACTCGAACCGACAACCATTTGAATTCAGTTTATCTCGGTTTGATTATTTTGATTTATAAAGTTTGATCAATTATTAAGTTCAAATATATATATATTGTTTTTCAAAAGTTTAAAACCAATCGATTTAACTCTATGAATTTATAATCATAAATTAAATATATAATTAGGATAATTTTTTATAATCGTGGAAATAAAAATTAGTCACTTAAGATTACATAAGAATCGTACATTTTAAAAATTTCCTATAATCATAATCATTGAAATGATTCTTTTAGTCATTGAAATTTTAGAAGTTATAAAATAATAATTAAAAATTAACAATTTGTTACAGAATAGTCACTGCATGTTATGAAACAATGATAAACTTTTATAAATTTAAAGATCATTTTGTAATAATTTGATAAATTTAATAGTCAAAAGATCATTTCAACATAGTTTAGTGATTGTTAGTACACTCTAATTAATAAAAATCAAGTATAATTCAGGGCCCAATTTGTGAATAAAGCCTTTAATTTAATTGGGTTAAACTACCCCAACCCAAACTTCTCTAGTCTTTGGGCACACGCTCCTTAAAAGGATATGGGTAAAGTACATTTAAAGGCCATTGAACTATACAGACTATACTCAAATGATTATTTTGAGTATTAAACTTCTAAATATTACAAAATAGTCATCCATTGTTTTGAATAATTACAACATTTTCATTAAATATATCGAAATATTAAAATGATCATTATATTTTATATAAATGTTGCAAAATGATCATAAACCACTCATTTGGTCATCCACTTATTACTTAATTTCTATTTTAGTCACCCAACTATTCTTTTTCTTCTAAAATCATACATGACATTATATTCAGTTTAATTTTGTTCACTCGCCATTAAAAAAATAAAAATGATATTAACATGTCACAATAAGATAATCCAATGTCAATATTGAAAAATAATAAAAATATCACATCAGCATCACCATTAATCTTTTAACTGTAGGTGACCAAAACAAAATAAAAACGTAATATTATGTATAATTTTGAAAAAATAGTAGTTGGGTGACCAAAAGAGAAACTAAGTAATAGATGAGTGATCATATTTATTTTACCCTTATATTTATCAAACTTTTACGATTTATTATAATAATATAATTATTATTCATAATAGTTCGATAAATTTGATGATTATTTTGTAGCTTTGGAAAGTTACGTGACTAAAAAGATTATTTAAGTATAGTATAGTGACCTATAGTGTATTTTATACAAAAGATATTTATATGAAAATAGCCGTTATAAACAGCTAAGTCAATCCAACGGTTCACGTTTCTCCATTTTGAATTAAAAAAACCCTATCTCCTCTTTTCAAAATTTAAACTCAACGCATCGATTTAGCTCTCTCTCTCTCTCTCTCCTTCGTCATTTCTCATTTCTCAAAAAAAATCTCGCTCTGAATATCTTTCAATCTCCCAATTTTTCTTCCTAAATCGTATAATTTTCCGTTTACTTTTTTCTTATCTAATAATCTAGTTCTTGCTTTTCTTTCTTTCTTTCTTTTTTCTCGTAATCAAATGGCTGAAATGGGCATGGAGAGTTCCGCTCTGGTCGTTCTTGATAAAGGTTGCGACTTGGTTTTCTCTCTCTTTTGTTTCAATTATATTTTATTATTCTGATCTTTGAAAAACTGATGTTTTTATAGATCCAACGGTGGAGAATTGCGGATCAAAGCCTTCTCCGAACTCACACACTGGTTAGTTCTTTTTCTTCTTTCTTTCTTGCTTTCTTTACTTTGGAGTCAAATTTTAATGTTCTCTAAATCTGAAAGGAAAGTTAGCAGTTAGGGATATTTTTCACATGTTCGAAACCCTAGAAATTTTTTACTTGGATGATACTTATCTTTGTTGTTTAGTTCAGAACTTAGCGTATGTGGAAGAATTTAGTTGATTTTAATCATTTTCTTCTATACACACCATTGATTACAGTTCATGAATCCTTCATATTGGCTAGAAAGTTAGGTGTAATGTTCTTTCTCTCTTGGTTCATTTTTACGTTCAAGTTATCATATTTGGGGAAGCTTATGTTTTTTTTAAATATTTGAGTAATTAGATACTAATTTGAAGAATATTGGGTGTTTCTTTAGAACTTTTGGAAGAGCATACCGACTCCATGGATGAAGATACTATATCCAGCATGAACCAAGAAATATCTCCAGATCAGGGGCCAACTCTTCCGATATTACAGAAAGTTATTAATTTGAGTAACCGTGTTCAGGTAAAATAGAGTAGGCTATTGCTTTACATAAGTTTGATATATATTTTTTCCTTGTTTCTCATTAATGCTTCGAGGGATTGACTTTAATGTCACAGAATTTGAAGAAAGAGCATGAAATTCTGTCTAATCAAGTTAAGTCTTTTCCTGGTCCTGATGTTGTGGGAACTCTTCAGCTTCTCAGTAAGTAATAGATTGAAGAAACGAAAGTAATGGGTCTCTGTGTTTAGAATTTTTTTATCTGATTTGATTTTTCTATTTCTTGTTTGTTATAGATAATGAATATGAACTTCTGAAGAAGAAATACCTAGAAGAGTCATCAGAGAGGAAGATCCTTTACAACGAAGTGATTGAGCTTAAAGGAAACATCAGAGTTTTCTGCAGATGTAGACCTCTAAGCCAAGTTGAAATCTCGAATGGTTCCTCTTCTGTGGTTGAATTTGACTCATCTCAGGATGCTGAGCTGCAAATAATATCTTCTGATTCTTCCAAGAAACAATTCAAGTTTGATCATGTATTTAGGCCTGAGGATGGCCAAGGTACCCATAAGATCTCTTGATTGTGTTTACATAACCTGAGATGTCTTCACTGATGTTTACTGTAAATGTTTTTAATTCTCTGTTTTTTTTTAATGCAGACATTGTATTTGCACGTACTAAACCCATAGTCACTTCTGTGTTGGATGGTTATAATGTTTGCATTTTTGCACATGGGCAAACTGGAACTGGGAAAACATTTACTATGGAGGGAACACCGGAAAATAGAGGAGTTAATTACAAGACATTGGAGGAGTTGTTTCGTATTGCTGGAGAGAGAGGTGGTGTGATGAAATATGAACTGTTTGTCAGCATGATGGAGGTCTACAACGAAAAGATAAGGGACCTTCTAGGAGAAAACTCCAACCAGCCTACTAAAAGGTTTATTCCTAACACTAATATGTATATGGTTGGCCAATTATTAAAGTCTTGTTGCAAGACAGACATGTGAAATCTATTTACTTTTATCTCCATAAAGAAAGAAATCCATTGGCATAAACGTTAATAACTATTTTTAGGAACAAAATGCTGAGAAGATAAAACAAATCCATTATTATCAGAAGATTAAATAAAGCTCAGAATTTTCAACCAGTCTCTGTTTAATGTCTTCCCTGAAGAAGATTTAGAAACCCCATATTTGGAGAGTTAATTCCAATGTTGAAGTCCTACGCTATGTCGATATAGGTTGGATATCAAGCAAGCAGCAGATGGAACACAAGAAGTTCCAGGAGTTGTCGAAGCTAGTGTTTACAATACAGAGGAAGTTTGGGAGCTGCTAAAATCTGGAAACAAGGTCAGATCAGTTGGAGCTACCAACGCTAATGAGATGAGCAGTCGTTCTCACTGGTAATATCTTGCTTTCTATTTGTTTTGTTTCTGAATTATGTTTAAAAGGCTAGACTTTATGCGATCAAATCAAAAAGCTTTTGTTGTTCAACAACTCTGGCCGAGAAATAGCAGTGCATTAACAATAATGACCAGAATTTCTCCTTTGCAGCTTGTTACGTGTAACTGTAAGGGGAACAAATTTGATGAATGGCCAAAAGACTAGGAGTCACCTATGGCTGGTAGATTTGGCTGGCAGTGAGCGTGTTGGGAAGATTGAAGTTGAAGGTGAAAGATTGAAGGAATCCCAGTTCATAAATAAATCTCTCTCAGCGCTTGGTGATGTAATTTCCGCCCTGGCATCCAAAACGTCCCATATTCCTTACAGGTTTCTTCGTCTTCCTCACTTTCCACGCTGGTTCTCATACACGAACAACACATACACACGACCGAATAAAAAATCTATATGTCTAACGTTAACACCTTTATTCTTTCTACTTTTCAAAACAGGAACTCAAAGCTCACACATATGTTACAGAGCTCTCTAGGTAAGCTTTTGTCTCATCATAGTATCGATTGAAGTTGATGCTCTTTATCTGAAGCTAGTTAATCTGGAAAGATTTTGGCCATGAAGGATCTGTATTCTTGTTTTGTGGCCTAATGGAAAATCATGAAATGCAGGAGGAGATTGCAAGACCGTGATGTTTGTACAGATCAGCCCATCTAGTTTGGACCTTGGGGAGACCCTCTGTTCACTGAATTTTGCTAGCCGAGTTAGGGGGATTGAAAGTGGTCCAGCCCGCAAACAGGTGGACCTTACTGAGCTCTACAAGTATAAGCAAATGGTACGTCAAATTGATGAAATTTGAAAATTTTCTCTCTTTAACATTTGTGGTGGATTCAATTTGTTTGATCTCTGGTTTTTTGTTAATTAACAGGCAGAAAAGTTGAAACATGATGACCGGGAAACAAAGAAGTTGCAGGATAATGTGCAATCCTTGCAGCTGAGACTTTCTGCCAGAGAACATATATGCAAAAGTCTCCAAGAAAAGGTAATCATATATTAAACAAACTGTAGCGGTTATCTCCGAGGTGTAGATCAGCCTTTTCCGATCGTAAAACTTTTATTAGCATTCTAGATTCTGATGCTTTTCTTCCTGGTATTTGATGTCAGGTTCGTGACCTAGAAAATCAGCTAGCGGAGGAACGGAAGACCCGGTTAAAGCAGGAAACCAGAGCTTTTGCTTCTTCGTCTTCTGCTGCTTCTACTAGACCACCTCTTAGAAAAGCAGCAGAGAAAAAACCGCCACTTGGTCCATCGAAAGCGAGGTTACCACTGCGAAGAATCGGCAACTTCGTACCCCCAGCATCACCTTTGGCCACCATCAAAAAGACATCTAGAATGTCGATGGTAGCATCATCAAACGACAAAGAAAACCACTCTGAAACCGCGATGGCAAACAGAAAAAACCTTTTGAAACCAAGACGTTCTTCCATTGCCATCAAACCTCCAATAGCCAATACTCAAGTTCTTCAGCCTAAAAGGCGGGTATCCATCGCTACCTTCCGTCCAGATTTGCACACGACAACACCACTCCACAAGTCAGCTTCCGGTTTCAACAATGGTACAATGGACAGACCATCATTAGCGAGGGATGCCCGGAAGGCAAGGTATTCAAGGTTGTTTTCTCCATTGCCAGGGTTTAGGAATCCATCAGAGACATCACCTACAGCCATGAGAAGCAGCAGCAAGTTCATGGGGAGCCCTCCGGCCGCGCAGGCGGGTTCATGGAAGCCAAGGCATCCGACCGTTGTTGCTTTGCAACGGAAATCGTTGGTGTGGAGTCCGCTCAAGTTAAAAGGTATTCAAAGTAGTTAACAGGAAGTCGTCGTTTTTGCCTTTGCGACCTTCTTCCGAGAAGCAATGAAGGTTCGAATTCGAATCTGCATTGCAGCTCCTATTGACAGATTGATTACCAAAGTGAACATCCTGTTCTTTTCTATACAGTCTTGTATTTTGGTCTAGAATTTTGATTTACAAATTCTATTGAAACATGGTGTTGTTCATAGATTTTTGGCTGCGTATCATATCCTTCAAGCTGATTCAGGTAGTTGTTTGATATAATAACTATAGATATAGTATTAAATTGCCATCATAATACAATATACAGTCGCATCGTAATAATTTTTAAAGTCATTGTGATACCACAACTACATTCATAATGTAAAAATCAGTCGCGGATCCAGAGATTTATAATAGGGTCCAAAATTTTATTTTATTTTTCTTAAAATAATAGGTGCAAAATTTTTATTTTTTCCATTTTTCTTTATCATATTATACTAAATTTCATTTTTTTTCCTAAATAATGGGGATGCACTTAACCCCTAGAGGGCTTAGTGTATCCGCCACTGATAAAAACATAATTATTTTCCAAAAATAAATCACGTCATATATCTACGACATTCATGACCACAATCAGAATCATGATCTAATACGATGATTATACTCACGCATACAACCATACTCAATTCAATGATATTGATTAAATTTAAAACAAATATACAAAAGTCACGTAATTATGGTCAAATAATCTTTTTTAGTTATTAAACTTTAAAAATTTAGCAAATATATACAATTATCATTAAATTTATCAAATTTTTATAAATTTTTATAACGTCAAAGTGACTGATTGTAATAGTTAGATAAAATTAATGGCCATTTTATAACTTTCGAAAGTAAAACAACCAAAAGGATCATTTGAGCATATTTCAATGATTTCTTGTGTATTTTACACTTAAATTTAATAAACAGTTTCAAATAGTTCAATACTTCAATAAATTTTAATGATTATTTCATAATAGTATAAAGAATTTAATGACTACTTATATTTATAACGTTATAGCGACCATTTTATAACAATTTCATAAATTTAATGATTATTTTATAATTTTTAAAATTTTAATAACCAATACTTTATTTACAATTTAAGGGTAAACTAAGACAATGGTCCCTTTTTTATCTTTTACATATCTTATTTTAATTGCCAATTTTAAAAGATTTACGTATTGATTTTATTTTTCTAAACTTTAGCATATTTTAAAGGGTTATTTTCTTAATTTTACCAAAATTACATCTAATAGCAAATTTTGACCTGTAAATTTTCTTCTAACTGAATTAAAAATGATAAAATCAGGTACATAATAAGACGGATGATTCCTTTGTTTATTTTGAGCCGTTGATCTTTCATCAAAATAGGGTTGTAAATGAGACGAGACATATAGCGAGCTACTCGAAATCGACTCGATCAACTCTCATAAATACTCAGATCGAATGGACTCGACTCGAGTTCTTAACGAGCTGAAACGAGTTATTTGATATTCGACTTGAAAAGCTCGTGAACAACTCGAAAATATAATATATTAAGATTTTATTTTTAAAAAAATAGATTATTAATAATATTAATATTTATGTATTAATTTTAAAAAAAATATAGTAAGATTTTCATGTATTTAAAGTTCATATTCGAGTTTGAGGCTTCAATCCAGTTAAGTTTAAGATTTTTTTTCCGAATCTTTTCGAGGTACTCACGAGTTTCAGTTCATAATTTCGAGTTCGAATTCGATTCGAGCTTAAAAATTTTATGCTCACGAATTTTCAAGTCGAGTCGAGTTCCGCTATACTCACCCCTATATCAAGAGGTGGCATTTAAGCGGTTGGATTAAATACGAGATAAAATAGAGGCTCTCGATTTTCTAGTTGAAAGGGCCCTTCTACTTTAAAGAACATAAGTTGATGACGACACATAACTAAAAAGATAATATAAAATATGTTATATGGATGACCTTCAAACTAATAATATATTAATGCTTTAAAACTATAACCATCGATTAATTTAGATTAAATATTTTAAAGATATATTATAGAATAATTCTCGTAATCTAATTTAACGTCAATTAAATTTTTAACCTTGCTTGATAGATTTACTTAAATATAAATGTTACCCGTTCAAATATATTAATTAGTAGGGATAGAAATAAATTTTTTTGTTGGAGTGAATTTATAATATTTTAATAGAATAACAATGAATTATTGTTTTTTATTATTCTTGGATTAATGTAATATAACATATGTTCTCTCAATCATTTGATAATGAACCGTCATATACTGTAGACGTCATGTTCAATCTGAGACCTTAAAAAGTTAACATTACTATTTATTAACCACATATATCACATGGTTCGACTAGGCATATATAGTTATATAACATGTGCTCTTTAACAAAGTTTTTATAGATTAAAATTTCTTCCACTTTTGGCCTTATTGTTGTGCTTTCTTTTCAATTTGGTCCTTATTGCTGTATGAATTTGACACCAATTCTCTTTTTTTCGTTTGCAATTTAACCTTTACCTTTTGAGATTTTGACAAGGATGGACCAAGGGGAGTTGACGAGAGTGACCCCTTAAAAATTTGAAATTCTCATGTAATTTCAATATTTTTATCAATATTAATTTTATTTTCTTAAAATTTTATAAAATTATCCCTCATCTATAGGGATGGGCATGGGTCGGGTTTCGGCCAACCCGACCCGACCCAAAAATTTTACACCATTCACCCGATCCGAACCCGACCCGACCCGAAACAATAATAAAATATTATTTTATTCAATAAAAACAGTGATTTAATTGAAAAAATAACATATATAGAGATATTATTGTATTATTAAATATATTAGATAAAATTATATTTTTTGAGTCTGGTCGAATAATGTATTTTCACCCTAAATTCAAATCCGACCTAAATCCGAAATTAAAAAAAAAACTTGACCTGATCGAGTCGGGTTGGATCTCATACCCATCCCTACTCATCTCATGTATAAAATTATACGTAGTCTCATGACTAAAATTATTAATAATTATAATAGATCCCGAGAAAATTACCTATAATAAAAGACAATTTTGACAAAATAATTAAAAGGACTTCATCAACTACTTTTCTTCTTTATCTAATTTTTTAAATAATTTTTCAAAATCTTTAATTTTTTTTATTAATTTTTTGAATAAGCCTAAAAGGAAATAAACATGTTTATTCACTTTTTAATTTAAAAAAAGAAAAAGAAAAGCTAGAGGATAAGTTGCCATAGAGTAATACAAATAAAATTATACACTCAACTAACATTACACCCAAATTACAAGTCAAACATATTTAAAATAAAATAAAATAAAATAAAATAAAACCCCTTTTATATTATAATCCTATATCGACACGTACACGCAATGAACAATCTTAGCAGCTTCTACCGCTTGACCGAATGGACCAAACAATGTACTGCATACTATTCAATCTAAATTAATTCTTAAATAAAGTACGCAAATGGTACTCCGATTATATAACATTATTTTATTAAATCTTTTAATTATTGAAAGTTATAAAATAGTCTTTCAATTATAATATGTTATTTTGTTAAGTTATCTGACTATTAAAAGTTACAGAATAGTTATTCAAATATTTATATGTTATAAACTCATTCTTTTCCATTAAAAGATTGACGATCATTTAAGTTGGACGTTAACCTGCTCACTAAGATATGAAAAAATCTGGTTTCAGAATTGTTTGAGTTATATTTTGTGGATTGAGTCCATGTGTACGTTATGTCGTCGAGCCAGTACTTGAAAACAACGACGGTGACGATAAACATCATTAAAATATGACTTTATCGTATATTGATCGGCATGTTAATGTCCTGTTTAGACGATTGTCAAAAATTTAATGAAAAGTATAAATTTGGAACATATGAATGGTTATGTGACCATTTTATAACTTCTAATAGTCAAGACTCGATAAAACAACGTCTTATAATCGGAGGATTATTTTGCAACTTTTAATAATTCGGGGACTAAATAAAGTATCGCCCAATAGTCAGGGTCAATTTGTATTTACCCTTAATTTTTAATGAATTCTCAACAATTTATTTTATTTTTAGGATAAACTATATATTTAATCACTCTTCTATTCTTGTAGTTTTATTTTGGTCATCTAATTACTTTTAAAAAATCATACTTAATGTTACATTTTCGTTATGTTTTAGTCACCTGTTGTTAAAAGATAAACAGAGTTACTGTGACAATCTTTATTTTTCTCAACGATGATAGTATAGTACCTTATGATAGCACGTTAGCATTACTCTTAATTTTTTAATGATAGATGATTAAAATAAAACTAAAATATAATTCAAATATGATTTAAAAAAAATAACTGAATGATCCAAACGAAATTATAGTAATAGATAGGTGACTAAATACATAGTTTACCTAAATAACATTTCTCGCAGAATATAGGGAGTAATTGTAGAATTTTACCAAAAGTTATCATTTTAATGTAAGAATAAAGCGACACGTCATTGTCAAACATATAATCTTAAAAAGTGTGCCCACATATCCGCTTATTGCATATTTAATTATTTATATAAATATTCTATATAATTCTCAATTACTTTAAATCCGAAAAAGGAAAGAATTAATTAATTTTTGCCTACTTTTGCCTCTCTTTGACGGTACCGACTTCACTTTCTTTTTATTTTCAATTTTGCCGCGCGCAAAGCAAAAAACCGCCGTGAAAATGGAATCTCCAGCTCGCCGCCGCCTCACCGCCATCAATTCTCACCTCCATCCTTCCCCCGCCGCCGAGGAGGAAGTGTCCGTTATCCGCCGTAACGTCACCTCCTCCTCCTCGCCACCCTTCTTTGACGGTAAGTACTCTGTGAGTTGTTAAACGTGTAAATGTTCTTACATAAAGTACAGTTAAATGACATCATAATTCGTGTTTTTATGTGTTTAGAAGTTAAATGTTTAGGAAATGTAAGTGTTTTGTGTAGTTTTGTTTTGATCATTATTTATTTTAATTTGATCATACGTGTGATATTTCCTTCTTTTTTCTCTCTTGTCTTGTGTATTCGTAGTTAAATATTCAGAAGATGGAAGTGTTTTAT